CACTGGGTAAGAAATGCCTAGTTATATCTATGGGGAAAAAGTCAAAAGGAACCACTATGTGAAAATACCTCTCTGGCAATCTCCAATGGAGGCGCTAATATATCCCAATGCTATGGATTTGAACAAAACAATAAAATATAAAGAACTTATAACTGATGAAGGTGAACTTAAAACAGACCCAATTTAAAATATAAGGAATTGAAATAGGATCGTGGCCCTACATTCAAATTCAAACAAGATACAAAAAGACAAGGAACAATTTGGATTTTATATCACACTTCAGGAATTAGACAAAATATTACAAGGAGGTGAAAAAAAGATGATCACTAAAATACATAATTATCTATTGGAATTCAAAATTGAAGAGGAGACGGTCAAAGAGAATATGATAACGTGGGCCAAAAACTTTGGCCACAGTATTGATTTGGACCAATGGGAATGAATATGGCAAATAAATTACAAACTAATGCTATTGATCTCCTATAAAGAGAATATTTATAAAATGTTTTATCGGTGGCACCTCCCACCAGTGAGATTGCTGGAAATGCAATCATAGCCAGGGAACATATTTTCACATGTGGACGTGTCCCCAAGTACGAAAGTTCTGGCTCAAAATTCAAGCATGGCTAGAGGAGTTAACAAAACAAAAGATCAAGTTTAAACCAGAGATCTTTCTGCTAGGTATGTTAGAACCGACATGGGATAAGAAACACCAACACTTAATATTACATATTATAACTGCTGCAAGAATTTCTCTTGCTCAAAGCTGGAAACTGACGACGACACCCTCAGATCTAGCAGTAATTAACAAGATACATCAATGTGCAGAAATGATTAGACTGTCATTAAAAAAACAGGAAAGAAGAATATTTTTCGATATGGAACATATGGTATAAATGGTTAAAAAAAGGGAGTAAAGATGCTTTGTGAAAATGACTAAAGAAATTTCAAAGAATATGAAACATGACTTATGTGTATATATATAAAGTAATGTAGATAAATAAGCATTGCCCTTTAACAGTAGTATAGTAAGTAAGGAATTTGCACATAAGCTATAGATATACTTATGGTAAATGAACTCAATTGTTATTAAAGGACATGTACATTACTATTAAAAAAAGAGTTGGAAGGGACCTCGTAGGTCATCTGCCCAAAAGGAGACCCTGCACCATTTCTGACAAATGCCAGTTCAGTCTCTTCTTGAAAGCTTCCAGTGATGACGCTCCCACAACTTCCGAATGCAACCTATTCCATTGGTTGATTGCTCTCAATGTCAGAACATTTCTCCTTATTTCTAGGTTGAATCTCTCCTTGTTCAGTTCCCATCCATTATTTCCTTCAGGTGCTTTGGAAAACAGCTCCCATTATTTGGATGCAATGGTTGAATTGGTCCAGAGCCCCCACATATGTCTCCACCATACAGGCCAGAATAGCAGCGGTGCTATGTTCTTACAGAGAAGAAATAAATCTCCCCTTCCCCATGTGAAATGAGGGGGTATGTTGAGACACATATTAGACAAGCACTGATATGTCCACTCTTCTGTTAGCTAGGAAGGGGGTGTACTAAGGGTGTACTGTGGCATCCTGGCATCTCTCCTGTCCTGGAAAGTCAAAACACTTCAGCATGAATCCAAAAGCTTGGAAGACTAAACCTCTGGTCCCAGTGACTGACCCAGATCGGATTCTGCAACATTGTCCTGGGACACATATTTGCCTTCATTTGTGAGAGTCAAAGCAGCCCAGTCAATTCCAGTTTAATTGTGAAAATTGGAAGTGTTGGATACATAAAAGCTGGCCCTCTTAGCTTCATCCTTCCACCATTTGGTATAACAGCTTTGGGTTGACATAGCTATGTGCTCCCAGGCTGTAGGGCCAGTGGCCACACTGAGAATTATGAGAACTACAATACAACATAGCTGGAATGGCTAGTTGGAGGAAACACTGCAGGATAGGATGCAGTGCCCCATTTCCCTTTACTGTAAATTGAAGATCAGCAAATGGAACCTATTTGAGTTCCTGGGACTACAAGTAAAGGAAGAAGGCTAATAGCTAGAAAGGAAATAGTTGGGCTTTGGGTATTTTGCAGAACTCTTCCCATTCCCACAGGCATTCTCTTCCAGCAGATACATAGTTTCTCACCAGGAGTTTCGAGACTGGAGCCTTGTATCTATAAATTAGGTTTTTTTCATCCAAAGGTCTTGCTGTACCATACATTTGGTATTAACTTGATTATATAGTTATTGTACTTTATTATATTCACTTGAGCAAGGAGATAGAAAAGCTGGGTAAAAGTGTGTGTGTGTTATTATATATATAATTAGCCTTGCACACCTTTCAAATCTGCTGGTATGGAAAACCTAATCAAGCACCAAAAAGAATATGATAATTTACATACAACACCCCTTTCAGGGCCTTCACGCAGGTGTATTTTACTTTAGAACACTTATTGGCAAAAAGTACACAGAATGCCGAACATTAGGATTGGAAGGGAACTGGAGGTCTTCTAGTCCAGGGGTCTCCAACCTCGGCAGCTTTAAGACTTGTGGACTTCAACTCCCAGAATTCCTCAGCCAGCTTTGCTGGGAGTTGAAGTTCACATGTCTTAAAGTTGCCAAGGTTGGAGACCCCTGTTTTAGTCCAACCCCTGCCCAAGCAGGAGATCCTATATCATTCTGGACAAATGGCTGACCAATCTCTTCTTTAAAATCTCCAGTGATGGAGCACCTGCTTCATCAGCTACTGGAGGCAAGCCATTTTGCTGGTTAATTGTTCTCACTATCAGGAAAAATTTCCTTAGTTCTAAATTGAATGTTTTTTTTTATATGTAAGAGGAAATATAAAGTGCCCATCATATACACTCCTAAACAAATGATCTGTGGAATACATGATGCTGATACTTTAAAAGGTGCAGAACGTTTTAGGTGCCCAAATTGGTGAGCAAAAAACACCCACATGCTCAGGCTCTCACGCAGACAAGGCAAATGAAAATGCACCATCTCGTTTACCAATTTCCTGATTCGCCGTCTTAACAAAGGCTCTTACATGGGACTCGCCGAATATTAACGCGCCCATGTAGAGAAAAGAGCTGTGGTAAACATTTGCAAAGCAGCACATATTTTTTTCCTGCCCTCCACCCCCCTCAAGAAAAAAGCAAATCCCAACCCCCAGCCCTTCCCTCCAGATCCTTTTTAACTTTCAGTTTCGTTGCATCAGATGGCTTTCCGAGACCCGGCGCTCTTTCCTAGAAAACACGTGCCTCGGCTGTTCTAGGTATAGCTCTCCCCTCCCGCCAGCGCGACGAAAAAAATCTTGTGAAACCCGACCGCGGATCCGCCTTCTTCATTGGGGAAAGAATGAAAGTTGAAAAAAACCAAACAAAAGATGAACAAAAAATGTTTATCTTGGCATGAATATATGGGGGGGGGGGAGCAAATCTTCCCGGCATCGCTATATTGTGCTTATTTTCCCTGGAGAAAGTAGGTGCAGGGAAGAAATGAAACTGACCGCACTACAGTAGATGTCTATGAAGATTCTCAGTCATCCAGGTCCTGGTGGTGCTTTATTTCAAGAGGCAACTGGCCTTTGTGGCTTTTTTTTTTTTTTTGAAGACGTTTCGCTCCTCATCTAAGCAGCTTCTTGGATGAGAAGCGAAAGTCTTCAAAGAAAACCCAAAAAGTCCAGTTGCCTCTGGAGAAAAAAAACACCATCTACAGTAGATGCTGATAACCTTCCTCCAGCAGGCAAGGAGACTAGGACAACCTTCCATCAGCCTGGCCATGGGAGTTGCGATTGCAGCCGATAAGTCTTTCATTGATCAGCCTAGTAAATTACACACGCACACACAAAACCTACAGGGATCCGTGGAAAGTTAGCACCCACCCCTCAGATGGGCATTTCTTCCATCCAACAGATCATCTTTCCTCTCCTGTTTCTGCACTGCAATTAGATTCAAAGTTCCAGTTGGATTCAATGCACGTTTTCTATAAGGATGTGTGGGAGAATTTAAGCCACTTGCTAGTCAAAGTGTGAATTAGGATTTTCTGCAAGGGCTTTGGCTTGGTTTAGTATGAGGCCGATTTCGGTTGGTTAAAGAAGCCACAGGGTAACACGACTGGCTTGAAGATGTTTTTCTTCTGTGACCTAGATGACACCTTCTCCCTCAAATGAGTACTGTATCAGGCTTAAAAATTTTCTTACAGCTATGTATTCTCCAAAGGTTGAAACTAAGGTGAACCACTAGATTCAGTTGTTTGAAAACAAGACTTTTTAAATTAATTTTATTACATTTTTGAACTAGACAGATAAAAAACAAGCATAAGAGAAATGAAAAGAGTAAAGAGAAAGTTTTTCATCTGTTTACTTTAAAATGTAATGGAAGTATTTGTTTAAAATGCAAAAGGCTTCCGAGCATAACGTAAATATCCCGCCTCAGACCCCAAAGTCGGAGAGGCAGCTCCATTCTGTTCAGAATTGAAACCAAAGTATTTGAAGACCTGATCAATTATAACTCCTTAGAGGCACCACTGTGTTGATAAAGTGGGCATTCATGTCGGAAGCCTTAGTGCCTCTGAAAATATTCCAGATACTATTTTACCATCCAAGTTCGTGCCTGCTTGGAATTGGTCTTGCACCTGTGCCCGTTTCCTGCGAGCATCTTTCATTCATGAAGTCAGTCGTAGGAGGCACTGCCACAGAATTCAATAGGATTTACGCCCAGCTAATGGTGTGTATATAACAATGCAGGCCGATGACCTTTTCCAATCGAATGAACAGAGTTTACTTCTCTAAGGAAAACGACCGCCACGTTCAAAAGTTATAATCGCACATTCTTCTTTTTCTTCTGCCTATTTATAGAGACGGGGAGAAGGCCCTCTCCCCGTAACAGCCATTTTTTCCTTCTGATTGGCTACTCCCTCAAGTAGCTTGTCGCGGATTGGTCTGCGCCTTCCTGTTTGAGCTTTGCTACTTCCTTTTTAAAGATATTTTCGCTTTAGCAGAAAGCAATCAGGCTGGGGAGAGCGCGGCATCTCTGGTTCTTTTGAAGGTTCTGGGCGCGCCAGGTAGGTCTGCGTTAAGTCGGGGTTCTTCCCGCAAGGGAGCTTTGCACGCCTCCCTCCAAGATCTTTCACGGGTTGCATCTTATAAGACCTGGAATCTCAAGACCTCGAAATCCCGCTAATCGATCGCCGGGCGATCGTTTCTTTTCCTGCCAGGATCGCTAAGCTCGTTATTTGTCAGATGGGCTGTTGCAAGTGAGGGGCCGGGGTGCAGACGGTTGTGCGGTGGTCGACACTGTGCGGGTGTTTTGCCCTGGATTTGTAGCCTGGGCTGAAAAAAAAAATGCTGGCTGTGGAGAAGAAGTCTCTTTTCCACGCTCGAGTTGAGACGCCTCCCTGTGCCAAGCAGGACAGAAGGGGATCCCTTTTCCTTTTTGTCCGCCGGGATTTTCCCGCTCTTGGTTGAGAAGTCGCCAGGTTGTGTCAGATTCTTCTTGCGTGGATCATACCCCGCCCTCCTCCACTGTCGCCTGGAGTTTGCCCAAATGTATGTCCATTGCTTTGATGAGATCTGACACATTCTTTACCAGTCCCTTCTCCTGTTGCCTTCAATCTTTCCCAACCTCAGAGTCTTTTCCAGTGAGCCTCTCCTGTCATTTAAGTGGCCAAAGTATTTGAGCTTCAGCTTCAGTATTTAATTCTTCCAAAGGATAGCGAAGATTGATTTCCTTTAGGATTGACTTCATCTTCTTTCATCTTCTTGGAGTCCAAAGGAAACTCAAGACTCTTCTCCAACCCCGTAATTTAGTTCTTTGGCGTTCATCCTTTTCCGTACAAATCTCATAGCGGTACATTACTACTGGGAAAAACCATAGCCTAGATTATAGGCACCTTTGTCAACAAAGTGATATCTGTTTTTTAAAAGGCTGTTTGACATAGCTTTTCTCCCAAGGAGCAAGCTATTTTTTTAAATTTGTAGTCGCAGTCAGAATGATCTTGGAGCCCAAGAAAATAAAACAATTTTTACTTGCCTATTTGAAATAACTGGGTCGCTCCTGGTGAACTGTTAAATCCCAAGCTTAGTGGAGACATTTTCATCAGGCCATCCTGCAGCTGAATTTTGCAGGTTATTTTTGAAAGTGGCATTTTGGAAAAAATAATGACCATTTAGTATAATTTGGGAGAAAGCATGGTAATATTTGTGCTCTTTAGGAGTAGCTACTAAGGGGAATCCAAAACCTGATATTTGACTACAGCCTTTGCACGTAATGACTGTTGGACCAACCCTTTGGTAGCTGTAATGATGGCTTGCAGCTTGTGGAGTAGATGGGTTTCTTGATTGTAGGAGGAAAAATCAGTACTTGAACCCTGATAAACTATTGTAGTTTACGTTGACTTACATATCTGTAATTTTTGAATATAGGTTCTCCTCAACTAGCAAACATTCTATGCTACAACTGAAAAAAGTGACATGACTGACCCTCACACTTTTAAACTATTGCAGCATCCCCAGGGTCACATAATCAAAATTTGGGTGGTGATTATGGTTGCAGCATCTTGGGGTCATGTGATCGTTTGTGACCTTTCTGGCCAGCAGTGTCGGATTTGCTTAAAGAATGCATGGTTCACTTAACAACCATGACAGAAAAATTCATAAAATTAAGCTGGACTCACTGCCACTGCCTTGCTTGGCAATTGTCCCACTTACTGTCATAAGAGGAAAGTCTGTAACTTGGTCCTTATGGCAGAGACTAATATCATATGGTATTCATTGCAGGAACAAGCCTTACGTCAACATCTGAGACAACGCGCCGTTCAAAGTGGCCACACCGTTTCGGAGTTGCTGCACATGTGCAGGGGGAGGCGGGTACATGGGGTCACAGATGGGTGTTGGGTGATGGGACTCATGCTGGGAGAGGAGCCAGGAGGGCAAGCCAGCTGTGGTCAGTTCAGAAGCCATCCAGGCCTGAAGAGTACTTGCTGGAGCCAGCCAGGAGCAACCAGGCGCAGGAGGGGTGTGTGTGCTGAGTCTGTGTAGCCAGCTGGCTAGCAGAAGCCAGTATTGCTGGCTAGAAACCATTTAACTTGTTCACCACGGGCCAAGTTGAGACCAGTACAGACACTCATTCTGCTCACAGTGTGGCCTCTTTTGCTGGCTTGGTTTGGAACCGTGACATCTGTATACAAGCAACAGTGCATTCCACTGTTTAAATATGTAGTATATTAAATTAAATTAAATTAAAAATTGAAAAGGTTTGTATAGTACATGAAGCAAACTTCCTGGCTGGATCAATATAACATAAGTATAACACAGTTTTGCTTCTGTATGATTGTTGAGAAGTCAGCCTTCTTGAATCCTTTCCTCTAGTACTGATGTGTAAAACCAAACATTTTGATGAACTACAGTTTATATAAACCCTGAATCAAGCATAGTCTGGGCTACAGTATGTGTTCTTGGGATATATTCGAAGTTGCATATAAACCTGAAACTCACAGAGCATGCTTTATTTTATTCGACTTTCATTAACACGGCATGTAGCTTACAACCATGTTCTTATAACTTTGATTTGGATACATCTTTACCTCATGTTAAGTAAGGTTTGCCCTTGGTCAGCTGAGAATAACATTACATTGATTGGATTTTTAATAGTTATTTTTCCTGTATCTTATACTTCTCTTATATTAATAAGAATTTTCAGGGTTGATTTGCTACCCTGAGTCCTTCGTCTTATTTCCAAATAGGCCAATTCTGGGAACAAATGGTGAGTAGTGGTAACATATGCTGATACACACACAACAGTGGTTAACAATGAAAGAGAAAGAGGATTTTTATAAGGATTTGTATTAGTGTGATGTGGCATTATAGGAAAGGAGGAAATGTGCTTTCAGATAATCCGAGTAATTTGCATTTAGATAATGCAGTTTCTTAACTAATTGAAAATTTTACTGATTGCATAGAAGAATAAATAAGACCTGCAGTTAATACATAATTGGGCATTTGATTCCACAGGATGAGTCAGTGGTGCAAACTTCAACAGCTGGATTCTAAATTCTTGGAACATGTGCATCAGCTCTATGATGATAACTTTCCTATGGAGATCAGGCAATACTTGGCACAGTGGCTAGAAAACCAAGACTGGTAAGGGGCTTAATTTGTGTGAGCTATCAAAAAAAAAAAAGACTTTGATTCTAAGCAGGAGTAGGATGCAGTCATCAGTCATGAGAAGTTAAATTATTTCTCTGAAAACTAATGGAACTTTGCTGAGGAAGTAAATTCCATTGGATTAGGTAGCCTCATATTGTATTTTGTATTCTTAAACCAAATATTGTGAATGAAGAAATAGGAAGCTACGTCCTCAGTCTCATAACAGCACATAACAAAAATTCTGAACCATGTGCATGTTGAGGAAAGTGCTTAGCATAAGCAACTGATATAAAATATAAACCTGCATTTTGTTTCACTCTAGAACTCTGATGTATAGAGCAGCATATTTAAAATAAATCATATTTAATCACATTGCAATTCCACCTTAACCCTTGGACTCTTTTGTGGCGTGTCAGGTACTTTAGAGTTTGTCTTGAGTTACAGTTTGTGCATGTAATTCCTATTCAGAGGCAAATCTCCAAATTCATAACTTGACAATGCATATACAATACAATATGCAATATAGCCAGGGGTGGGATTCAAATTTTTTAACAACTGGTTGTGTGGGCGTAGCTAAGTTGGTGGACGTGGCTTGGTCATGTTATTGTCTGAGCGTGGCCAGCTCAATATCATTCACATCGAGACACGCATCTCCTCACTTGGCCTCTCATGACTGTGGGGATGCTGCAACAGTTGTAAGTGTGAAAAATGGTCATAAGTCACTTTTTTCAGTGCCATTGTAACTTTGAATGGTCACTCCACACAAGCAAAGTACCAGTAAAGGAGGGGAAAATAACTCCAGAGACATTCCTGAGACAGGAAGTCTAGTCCTGCCAAGAATGTAATAAGGGTTAACTGAGAAGTTTCTGTAACCAACACCAGAATGTTTCCTTCCTGCCTTCCTTACAGGATTAGGCCAGTAATTTCTTCTAACAACCGGTTCTCCCAACTGCTTAGAATGTTAACCAGTTCTAGGGAATAGGTGCGAACTGGTAGAATCCCACTCCTGAATATAGCCATAATAATAGCAAAAAAGGCCATGCAACTGAATTAGAAATACTGCCCTTGTCCATCATGCTACTCTATTGCTGTTCAATCAGCTGGGTTCTATTATTAGCACAGCAGTCTGTATTGTTTATGTGTATTCGCTATAGGTTCCCCTGCCAGATGTAGGGTACTTTAGGGACTATTGGAAAGTTGGGTCGGTTTTTGACTGCTAACCTAAGCAGAAGGGCAAAGAAAAATAAATTGGGGTTTGTGCAATATAAAGAGATGGAAGATATGTTAATGCTATTTGCATGCTTCATCTTCTAGGGACCATGCTGCTGAAGATTTTTCAATGGCTACGTTGCTCTTCCAGAATCTTCTGTCACAGCTGGATGATCAATATAGCCGTTTTACCCAGGAGAACAATTTTTTATTGCAACACAACATCAGAAGGAGTAAACGAAACCTCCATGTCAGTGTACAACAGCATTTTCTAATTTGCCTTTGTGAAAACATCTTAGAATAATTCTGTTGATAATGTGTGGATTATTTCTATAGTGTAATGAAAGGAACCTTTAAAAAATAATTGCTGTGCCATCCTAAGCAGAATATAACAATGAGCCCATGAATGAGTCCTTCCCTTCCCTTCCCACACTCAGTTCTTGTTAGCTTTGTTCCCATTGTAGCTACTATCTTTTATCTTCTATCATTTTTTTCCTAGAAGAAGAAAGGGAACATGTGTAGCTTATAACTTTCATTGTAGTTGTAAGCTTCTGAGTCTTCAGTGTTTTATTTTTTTTATGTCATTTTTGCTTGACATCTTTTGCAGTGTAGCTTCTAATAACCATACCTCCATATGTTATACATGCATATCTTATTATTATGAAGAAGAAAATTCCACCTGGATTGTCTGGACGGTGGCTTTTGTGTCTATTTTTTTTCCTGGTGTGATGGACACATTCCTTTTTCAGCCTTAAATTTGAGGAGCTCCTTTTTAATCAATGCAGTAACAGAAAGCATTTCTTAGTATACAGCAGTTGTATATCAATTGTTGTATATCATTTCTGAGATTGAAGGATGTCTTATCTTAGAAGTGAAAAAATGAGGATATTACCGTAGGATTTACAAATACAGTATATGATTTGTAATTGAATTCTGACTCCTATTTCTTTAATGGAAATAAATAATGGAGAGTGTAGAATAGAGACCTGCTTTCACAGTAGTCTATGGTAGTGACCATATTGAAAAAAATGCTGGAAGTCCCTCACTGTATATTTCATGCTATAATCCAGAATACTTTTGTGGAAGAACCCATGTATATGGCCGTGATGATCTCCAAATGTCTCCAAGAAGAAAGGAACATCCTGAAAATTGCAGAGTCCACAAATCAGGTAAGTTATCCTTTGTGTGCTTGGAAAACAGCATCCTGTTTGATCATTGTGCAGCCTCATGTACTTCAGTTTTAAATTTTAACATGTCTACTAAACTTAGCATTTTATCAGAATGGAAAGCAACGAACTAACCCAAGAAATATTCATGAAATATTCCTGCTGTGGAGAATGATTTTCCTTACTAGGGAGGGGGGAATACTACATCATGATACATTTAATTCTTGATTTTTTTTTCCCATTTCAAATTCCAGATGCAAACGGACAGTGTGCAAAATACGGCGACGCTGGGCAAAGTGAAAGAGTTGGATGCAAAAGTCACAAATGTGAAGAATCGTGTCATAGTACGTTAAAAGAGTTGCCACTTCTTTTTTTTTTTTTGCCATATCATAACCCAAAGGGGAACGCATTGTTGTTTCAAATGCACAGATTAGGGAATGTGCAAAGAGAAGCTACATTCGAGAAGGATTGAATGGCTGTCTGGGAACAATGGACAGTGTTTAATCTCCCAACGCTATTATCAAAATCTTGCTATTGTCACATGACAAAACTTGTTGAATAGTCATATTTTTAGCACCAGTTGATTGTGAGACACGCATAGAGGTAGGACAGGGACACATGTAACATAGCCTTCTCCAGCCTGATGAACTTAGTTGATATCTATTACAAGGTAGCATTTCCCAGAGATCTTGAATTTAAATCTATTCAAATCTCAGTGTGATCAGTGGTTGATATTTAGACAGCAGCAGGTTTCTATTCCTGACTATTCCAGTGAATATTCTGGTTTAACTGGAACAAAGGACCCTTTGGTTCATATTATTACTCTGCTAAGCCTGAAGATTCACTGGTCCCTTGCTTTGGTCATATTTTTTGACTGAACCTATTTTAAGACTTTGTCATAAAGATAAAACGTGAGCAAAGGCCTATTTTGATAACTAGTGAAATGAATCATTGAAGTCATTACATTTCTTTTCATGAATACCACCATTTTCCATTAAGTGATTCTAAATGTCTGATGAGCTTATTTGTTTTGTAGGAAATCGAGCAAATGATAAAAAATCTCGAGGATGTTCAAGATGAATATGATTTCAAATTTAAAACCTTTCAGGTCAGAGGTGAGGAGTCAATTTCTAGCCTTTTTAATGAAATCTGTTGTTTCCTATGTTAGACATTGTTCCCTGACAATGAAATCATGTCCAGTTGAAGCTCAGTTGAAGTCTTAATCTGTTAAACATTTGTTACAGACTTGATTTCCATTTTGTGAATGTCCAGATCTGACATCAAGATCTGCTGCTTGTGCTCATATTACTCCAAATCATCCAACCCTCACTTGGTTTCCCTCCACATCCACTTGTGCTGGATTGCAACTCCCATCCTCTCCCAGCTGTATGTTACCTGGGGATAGATTGACCAAAGTAGACTTGAAATGAACTCCCAACATTGAGCTTAGAACAAAACCACTCAAAACAATCCAGTTTTGAGTGTTCTACCTTCAACTTGAATGAAACTTGAATTGTTCTTAATATTCTTTCATAGAGAATTCCAAGCAAGCTTTTCATTTATTTTCCATCCTGCAAAATCTCGGCTCACATCGTAACCAGGATGGGAGACATTCTATCTAATCCTTGTTCTAGCTTGTCAGAATCCATTGGACCTTGCCTTTTGCTGCTAATTTTAGGCCTTGGTTCTTTATTGTTTGGAATACCATATTCTAGATCAGTGGTTGCCAACTGGTGGTCCACAGCCCATGAGAAAATGTTGGTGGTCCGCAGAGAAATGTCACCCCCAAAGCAATTAATCCAGGCTGTGCGGGAACATAAGGCTTGTGTCGCTTGCATTGCAAACAACACAAGGTACTGATGGGAGGGTGGAAAGGGCAGAGGGGGGAGCTTGCCCCACGCATCTTGCCTGACCACCGGGCTGCTTCTTTCTGCTTCTTTCTTCTGCTTTTGGCTGCACGCAAGGAAAGCAGCAAAAGTCTTTCTTTCTCTCCCCCAAACTCCCCCAGAAATGAGTCTTTGGGACCTTGCAAGGCATCCTGCTCCAAGAGGCTGTGCCAGCAAAGACTCATTTCTGGGGGAGTTTGGGGGAACTGGAAGCTGCAGGCAGAGACCCTGGGAAAAATTCCAAAAAAAGTCTGCAGGAAAATCTGTCACCCCATTTTCCTACCGATCAATTGTTCTTTATTTGGGATCGCAGGATACCATCTCCCTCCCTCTCTCTCCTCCCCTGAGAATGGAGCTGAAAAGCAGGTTAGTGAGGGAATGTGGCTCCCTTGGAGGGTGTGTGTGTGTGTGTGTGTGACCTCTGTGTCTATGTGTGAGAGAGAGAGAGAGGGAGAGAGAGAGAGAGAGAACATCACCGCCAGCCCTCCGAGGTTAGATCGGATCTGTCTCCCTCTCCCACCAACATCAGCAAGCCACCATCAGTCAAAATTCATATTAGTGGTCCGCGGGATTTAAAATTATGGATTTGGTGGTCCCTGAAGTCCAAAAGGTTGGCGACCCCTGTTCTAGATCATGGGTGTCAAACACAAGGATGTGGTCAGATCCGGCCTGCCTGGCCATCCTGGAAACAAAAAGAGGCTGGCCTGCGTCGCTTTGGCCCACCCCATTCCAGTGAGCAGCAGCGGAGTTGCTACCCAGGAGCTGCCAGGAGTAGACACCCCTGATGTTGCACATCCTTCACTGGGGCTGCTCGGCGGGGAGAGCTGAGACCCCACCCTCTGAGGCATCAGCTCCAGAGCACTTTTGGGGTGCCTGACCAACACAGCTCCTTCAGACAGAGCCCCCAAGGCTGCGGTCCCTTCACTGGACTGAAGGCAGCCTTCTATCTTGCAGTCCCCCACCAGACTTATGTTCCGAGCTGAGGATTGCAGCCAAATTCCCCGCTTGGCCGGTGTTCCCAGAAGCTTGGGGGTAGTGGGGCTTCCCTCTGCAAGACTGGGCGAGTTGTTGGTGCTGCCCGAACTGGTGCCCGGGGCTCAAAGGCCCTCTTCCTCCAGCCTAGGGATAGGTGCCACTTCCTACCCCGCCACCTGCCACGCTTTGGGGATGCCCAGCCTGGTGCACGTGTTGGGTCTGGTAGTGGGCGGGGAAGCACTGTGCCCTCTCCTGCTTTTTTGGGGGTCTGCTGTAGGCCGCTGCAGTTGGGTACAGGAGTGGAACATGCTCCACATGCAGGACAAGGGCATGACCTGCATGGAGACCGAGGTGATGACCAGTGACGACCTACTCTCCAACCAGAGAGCAAAACATACAGTGGGTTGGAGTAGGCGCCTCCAGCGGTCCGCATCATGTTCCTCCCCCCTGCCTCTGCATGTTGCTTGGACAGCCAGACCGGTGGTGGCAGCAGGCTCCGGAGCTGAGGGGTTGGCAGGTTGCATCTACAGCCGGAAACCATCACCTTGCACACAAAGGGCAGCGAGCGCATGGTGCCCGATAGATATCTGGCTATAGCTTCCCCACCCCCTGCCTTGCCTCATCTCATCCTGTGGGATGAGCCTTCCACCCCCACCCACCGGAGACCCCTGGATTCCCTCCCCAATCCTGCCCAGGCACCACAGGCACCAGCCACATGAGTGACGTCAAGCGGGTCATGCCCCTTTCCCCAGCCCCCATTGGACAACCACAATACTGATCTGGCCCTCAATGAAATTGAGTTTGACACCCCTGTTCTAGATCCTCTTGTGAAGAAGATCACACGTCTGGGAATTGCAAATCATCAGTATCTGAAGTGCTGCAGATTGCCTATCCTTGGGCTAGATTTAAGTATATTTCTCCCCTTATGCTTTGCTTTTGTACATTCCTAGTGTCTTGTCCTTTGGCTTGGTAGCCTTATAAGTAGTCCTTGACTTTCGACCATTTATTTAGTGACTGTTAAAAGTTACAATGATGCCAAAAAAGTGACTTACAGCCAGTCCTTGCAATTAATTACCCATCACAGCATCCCTGCAGTCATCCCTTGGCAACCAGCTGACATGACAATTGTAGCATCCTGTGATCACATGGTCATCATTTGCGATCTTGCCCCGCCAGCTTCCAACAAGCAAAGGCGAACAACAGGCGAAGCTGGCAAGGAAGGTTACAAGTTGTGATTACACCTTGTCTTGCCTAAAGATGGTGGCAAAAAAAGGTAAAAATGTGTGCGGTCATGTGACACCTCACTCCCTTTATACCAGAGAGGATATTGTTTGATATTGTTTATTGTTTATCCTTTTTACTTTTACTTTCTGCAATTTTAAATATGAAAGACATATAAAGTTCTGGCATGATCTCTTTTGCAGAATGTGAACCCAACAACATGACCCAGGATGACTATAAAAAAGAAAAAGTACAGCTCCACACCATGTATTTGCAGCTTCACAGTAAAAGACAGGTGATGCAGCTGGTTGTTTCTTTGGAGAGCTGTGGTTGTTCATTGGTGTAAATAGCAGGCACTTTTTTTTTGTTTCCCCTCCCTTTAAAGGCTTTGAAGAACCGATGGTTGGAGTCCAAAGTGTTTGTGAGACAGAGCTGTATAATAGTTGGAGGATAAGACCAGGGAAATTCTAATTCATCATGAGCTTTGGACGTTACTGAGTGCCTTTAAACAGTCACTGCCTCTCAGTTCAACCTAAGCATTATTGGGAAAGTATGATCTTAGAGGATGTAGTACCATGATTGTCACCTTCAACTCAAGGGAAAAGAAAACATACACACAACAAAATTCACTTAGAGGTGGATGCCACAGTGTAACAGGGTTCTTTTTGAATGGAAGATTAGCTGGCAATTGGCACTGATAAACAAGCCGGTGGAGTCCTTTCTTATTATTACAGTGAGGGCTTTTATCACAAGTTTTTACAATATAGTTTGGTGTTCACCTGATACCAGCTTTTCTCCTAGGTTTCACTCCTAGAGACTCCCTGTAGCTCTCCTGCTAGCTATTTGGTTTCCGTCCCCTTTCATCCCAACTCTCTCCCCCTCTTCTGTGTTTTAACAAGAGAGCAGGTAAAAAGGATGGGCTGGAATTTTACTGTCATGCATTGGTTTGATCTTCTGCTCAGTAGAACATCTGGTTCTCCATGGAGGGGAAAAAATCTGAGTCTTCTGCCCAATCCTTCCCCAGGGACAGCCACGTCTCCTCCCCTTCTTGGGTGGAGTTTTTACCCCTCTGGGTCTTCACTTTCCTTTTTGAAGCCACCTGTGAATCTTTTTTTTCTCCTTTCCCAACCAGGAACCAAAAACTGCTCCTCACACTTAATTTCTCTCTCCATCTTAATTCTGTAGCCATTTGATTCACTCCATGCAATCCTCTTGTCTCATTCCAGTTTTTAGTCAGGCCAACAAACAGCATGCCCCTCCAGCAACTGAGGAGGTAGGTGTCCCCCTAGGGATCTGGTCCCCAAGACTTATAGAGCAGGCTTGACTACTGGAACTGCTGTCTTCGCATCTCACCACAGCAGCCCTGGCTAGCTGCAAAGTTGGTTCATCAGCCCTTGTGATAGCACAGCTGCCATTCAAAGCCAGCATTGAGCAGCTTCTCCCCTTGTACTCACTCACATCAGCAAAACAACACCTACATCAGGCCACTAAAATCCATATGCCACAGTAGTGCAATATGCCATCATTGCTGTTCTCCAGTTTAGTGTAGGGCAGTGGTTGTCAACCTTTTCTTCACCATGGACCCCCTGTAAATATCTTTTGTGGCCACGGACCGCAGCCAAGGACCCCCAAGCCTTAACTCAAGATTTAAATCATAACATTTCTTCAAACCTTCACAGACATCCCCTGTGATAACAATGCGCATGCACACACACAGGGTTAGCAGACCAGAGGTTGAGAACTACTGGTATAGAGGGTAAGTTGTCCTTGACTGAGATAAGCCAGATCAAAGCAACACATGAAAAAACAGGGCTTAAGTCCAAAACAAGCAGAAGGTAATGTGAAAGCAGTTCAAGCTTTTCAGCTCCCTAATTCATTTGCACATAGGGACAGGGGCAATAAAGTTCAATCAGATTTACAATATTCTATTAGCTACAGCTAGTATTTTAAAAAGTAGTTTAGCATTCTTGTGGCATTGATTTCTTGCTTTGCTCTCCATGGTAGGGTTGACAAATAGAAGTTTAACAGTCATTCATTTAGGTTTCCCTCCGACTTCCATTCCTGCCTTGTTTATTGATGTCACTGTACTATCCACTGATGCTTTTGGCTGCCATAGCTTTTTAAAAAATTGAAAGGTTCCTTACTTTGTATGTTGACCACTAGTTCCTCTTATTTATTTGTTAGCTATGTATTCCACAATTCAGTCGAGAACTTAGAAGATATATTGTACATGGTGCTTCTTCCTTGTGTTATTTCTACCCAACAGTCCTATCAAGTAGGGTGTGGAGTGTTGAATCTGCATCCTGCCCTTTGGATGCAGTTATTGCAACGTAAGTATGTCCCTTGGCTAAAGACTAGAACATCTTCCTGTATTCCAGAAAATTCCCACTGTGCATCACGTGAATGTTAGAGCTCTTTTTTAAAATTGAATTTTCAAATGGATCTTGCCAAGATTGAACTTAATAGTAGAGTAATAACTTGAATGTGTTTCTTACTGGATTCTCTCTAGGATGTGCTACACTCGATATCCTCTTCGTTGCCTGTGATTGAAAATACCCAAAATGCTCTGATAACAGAAGAGCTGGTTGAATGGAAGCATCGACAACAGATGGCTTGTATTGGCGGCCCACCCAACGCCTGTCTAGATCAGCTTGAAAACTGGTAGGTCTCTGAAGCATGGCAAGTACAATCAGGAATTTTCTGAATTAATTCATCCAGAAAGGAAACGTACCTGAAAATTTTCACAGAAAACTATCTGTTCTGAAAGCTAATACCTTCCTGAAGGGTTGGAATTCTGCTATTCCTCTCGTCATGTTTGTGAGTTTTCCACATTTTTAAAATATTTAAAATGTTTTTAAAATATGTGGGTTACATTCTTCTGTTGATAAAATGCACTGTGTTGATTGTGCCATTTGAGAATTATGACACTTGGATTCCAACAGACCTCCAATGCTACCAGGTCTAATAACTTTTCAGCAAATGTTCCAACAGTTGCATTTCTGCAGGTGGGCAAATTTCTTAAGTGACTCATGTCCCTAAAAAGTGGACATTAGTAATGGTTGGAAGACTTGGGAAATACTGCTGATTTAGAAGTGGAATCCAGGGTCCAAACAGTTGTATATGGATTCAAGCATGCCAAGAATGCTCTGAGACACATGTCTTAAGAGTCTTGTAAAGTTACATGTTGGCCCTAAACAGTTAAAGACTGCTGGTTCCTGCGCTTGTTACCCTAAGGAGAAATGTAGCAATCTTCACATACAATCATTGTAATTATAGGTTTACCTCAGTGGCTGAGAGCCTTCAGCAGATTCTTCAACAGATTAAAAAATTGGAGGAGCTGGAACAGAAATTCACCTATGAAACTGATCCCATTACCCAACAGAAGAAAGGGCTGTGTGAGCGGACATGGAGTCTCTTCAAGCAGCTCATTCAAAGGTATTTTTTTTCTTGTGTTAGGTGGGTCAGAATGGGCATTTCCTTGTTTAGAAAAGCATATTTCATCTTCCCATCCAAGCTGAAGAATCTGTCCCTTTCTCTTATCTAGCTGATTAAATTATTTGGTTGAAATGTGAGCAGTCACATTATTCCCAAAAGATCTGAACTCTCCAGTGAAATAATTTTTGTTTGAAGTTGTACAGTTTTTAAATTAGATTAGTTTGTATTTGGATCAAATTTAAAAGAAATTGAAAGGTGTCTCCTACTGACTGATTTCCTTGAAAATTGCAGAGAGTCTTCAAAATCTCAGAAGGCTAGAAGAAAAATGCCAAAGAGTTGTGATGGGATGGATCAGGCTTCCCCAACCTAGACAAAAATGTGTGGATTGGGAAGATTTGTTTATAGGAGGGGTACTCAATAGGCCGTGGCCTATTCGCAAATGGGCCTCAGGCCTGCACACATGCCCAGCCCAACTCATGCGAGCGGTGGGCTGGCACACATGCGCACGCAGCTCAACTTGGCAGTTGAGCTGCTTGTGCAAGTGTGCCAATACCATTCATGAGAGTCAAGCTGTGTGCACCTGCAGGCTAGCCCCTGCTTGTGTGGCCCAGTTCCCCTCTCCCCACTCCCAAAGCTAGGTCATCAGGCTGCAAAGGTTGAGGTCAGCTGGTTTAGAGAACCATGGAAATGTATTAAAAGAACAATTTTAAATTATATTTTTATTTTTAACTATTTAGAGATTGTTCTTTATAAATTTTGTTCCTAGCATGCTAGATGTTTGTTCCATATAAATAACTTGAAAAGAAAACTTAAAGCCTCTTTTTTAATGTTCACATTTACATTATAGAAGATTGAGGATCTGTTCATTTTTGGCATAATATTCGATTCCCCTTTTGAAACAATTCAAAGTTACTTTTTTTTTTCTCTATCCAGCTCCTTTGTTGTAGAAAGACAGCCTTGCATGCCTACGCATCCTCAGAGACCATTGGTTCTGAAGACTGGAGTACAATTTACAGTAAAGTTGAGGTAATTCATTTTATACCTGATGTGATTCATGTATGGTGTTTTTTTTAAAATAACTTTAAAGGAAGTGATTAATTCCAAACTAAAGTAAAAGGGAAGACTCCCTCAAGTCAAGTCTGATCCGTGCAAGTTTACCAAAATGGTTTGTTACTGCTTTCTTTCAGAATATTTTATGATTTCCTAGTTTAGCCAATTAGGAAGAAAAAATATGCTGCATCTTAACATTCTGAAGAAAAAATGTTTCTCAGTAGAATATCATTTTAAATAAAATTGCCAATATTTTAGGGCTTGTTAACATTTACTTAGATGTAGACTTTGCTGCAGACCTGATTCTGCATTCTGCTGTTTCTTCTATTGAAGATAGTGAAGTACTCAAGTTCTGGTTCTTAGACTCATTTCATGATTGGCTCCACTCCTCAAGCAGAGATGGGTAATAGATCTTAACTTGGAATCACAAAGGCTGGATTTTGCAAAACACATGAGTAAAATGAAGCATATTGTGACTTAGTACGATATGTGAACCTTATCCATGTCACAAGATACAATTCTTTAACTATATAGGAATTGTCTTCCATATGTTTTTAGTTAGATGCATGTAGGATTGTGTTGAGTGAATTTGCATGCAGAGCTCTTACCCAGCTCAAACTAGGATTGGCTCCTGCAATGATCTCATAAGTAAAATATTAGGCTGGTGTGCACATTATGGTTTTTCAACTCAGTGGTGCCTCCTCTGATGACAGGTGTTTCTTTTAATGTTGAGGGGTTCTGGGTGCTCTATGAGTTTTCTTGTTATCTTGCAGATGTATCAGTGCTAGTTGATGTTACCTAGTTTGGGTAATGAAATATCTGCAAGAAAACAAGCAAGCTCAGAGAATCCCTCGTGTCAACAAATATTCTCCTTTATTAAGTTTTTTAGTCTTGTAAAAATTTGAGCAGCAGAGGAGGGGCAGCCCTCCTCATAATCTTCACCACCTGTTAACAAACAAACAAACAAAAAAGAATAATTTTACTTGCTCCCATTTCTGTTTACTGTGATCTTCCAAGAATCAAAGAATCTTCTGTTACAAAGATACAAATTAGATCTTGGGCTGATACGTAAGGAAAATGATTTTCTTGAAGGGCTTAAGGAAGATCATCAAGACCAAAAAAAAATAAATCATTTTTTTCTTTATTCTTACCTTTGTGTTGCTTGAACTTCCAGATTGCTGGTGAAGCTCCAAGAGCTGAATTACAAATTGAAAGTGCAAGTTCAGTTTGATAAGTAAGTGACCTGTTACCACTATTCAGATGAATGATCCCTGATCTTTTTTTTTTTTTTTGAAAATTTTATTGAGTTTTAAAAACAAACATAAACAAACAAAACATAGAACATAAAAACATAAAACATCTTTTTTGAAAGCACCCTGATCCCGGGTTACATCTCTTCGTGCAGACACAAATTCAAGTTCATGCTCATTTTTATATTCCATTCCATATCTTATTATCATTCTACGTTTTCTATATAACTTCTCCCCTCTTTCATCTTTCTTAATTTTATTTTATTTATTTCATCTCAGTTCAAATCACCATGCTTATATTCTTTGTCTGTCCTGTTTCAGCTGTCTATTATCTTTTCTCATTAAGCAAAATTTCTCCTGTGATCACTAATTGGAGTATGACGCTTTTATATCTTTCACCTAAAATTATAACACTTAATGTAATACATAATTTCCGTTCGGATTCTGCTTGGTACATTCTAAAACTACACAATGTATTTTAAAAAAAGAAAAAATTGTAAATATATAACATAATTAAAACAACAATCCATACCAATTCAATTCTATCATTAATATTAATATTCATTTAAATCTTGAACATTTTACACATTACTTTTCAAATAAGTATCATACTTCTATGGGAACACTTATGAACTTTCCATAATTACTTCCCTCCCACTTCACTTATATTTTATAAAACATTGAGTAATTAAAATGTTCCCATTCCTTCCTAATTCAATTCTCTCATTTATTTCATTTCATTTATTTTGTTCACAAGAGTTTCACTAAATTACACAGACTATTTTATTCCACTTTTTAATCATATGTTGTTTCCAATTTTCTAACATTATTTCTATTACAAATATAACAATACAATCTTATGTACCTTTACAGAATCCCTTTTTCAGTTAAATTTTCACCCATTATCTCTGAATAAATCCTGTTTCTTTACATCTTGCTCCAGACCTTTGTAACTTCTCTTCCCTTTCTTCTTCTTCTCTCTCCCCTTTTTACCCCCCTGTCTCTCCACCTCCATTTCCCTCTTCTATATTCCCCTTTTCTGTTGTTTTCCAACATTATATCCCCTTTTCACATTATTTTTCCCTTTTTTGGCTGTTTTTTAGGTCTTAAATTCTCCATTCTCTTTCCCCCCTTTCCCCTTTCTTCCCCAGATAGAATTACTTGTTCATTAAAAATGGCTTCTTCTTTATCCCAATCTTGTTGCGCAGTCCTTTCTTGCTGTTTCTTGTAAACACCGATTGCCATTTCTAAGAATTGAAAAATAGAGCCAAAAGAGCCCTTCCCTTCTTGTTCCTCTTCTTTATATTTTTTAAATTCAATTTTCAGTTCATCCAGTTCATTCAGTCCATCCAGAAGTGATGCCATTGTAGAATGTTTTTTTTTTAAGCAACCAGCCAATTACTTTTAGTCATTCAAATATGATTTCCAAAAATCCCAAAGTCACCAAACAATCCAAATACACACAAGCTGTTTCTTTTAACACTTTCTTCTTTTTTCACTTTCTCTTCTTGGGGTTACTATTTAGTTACAAAATTCCAGTTAAAATGTATCCTTTAGAAGTCTTGTTAAGATTTAACTTTAAATTCTTTTAAATTCCAAGCAGTCTCCTTCCAAGTCCTGCTCTTATTCTTTTCCTCTCCCTTCCCACTTATAACAAAAAAAGGATTTTTTAATATTCAGAAATCTTTATTGTCCCTTTAGCATTTAATTAAATTTCCAGTTTAATTACCTGTTAGTGCCAAAGTGGATTTTTCTGATTTCTTTATTCAGATCTTCTCGTTATCAGCGTGAGGAAGGAAAAAAAAAACTTTCCCTTTTCACTTTCGTTCGCTGCTTCCGACTCTTCTTTGGGAGTGATGTATCTTTTGCAAAATTTAAATTCCAGGGTACCTTAGTTGTTACTTTTTGTCCCGGTCAGCCAAAAACTTTCACTTCTTAACTTCCTCCTGCACTTTCTTTTCCGGCCGAGTGCTTCTTTGAGGCGGCCATTTCTGACCGCCGCTCTTACCGCCTTCGGAAAAGGGAGCTTAGCCAGCTGAGGAGGAGAGGTGCGGCTCCCCTCGACCCTGCCAGGTCTCCCCTGTCTTCACCACCTCTATGGGGTGGCTTAGCCCCGAAGCCGGCTGGCTTGGGGCACTCCAGCGGCAAGCGCAGGCAGAAACCACGCACGATCGCGGATTCCTGCTTGCCGTCGAAGCCCTGTAAACCGGAACTCCGAATGATCCCTGATCTTGATTTCCACACTTTCCAAACTTAGACAACTTTTACTTTTGCCCTATTCTACACTCTTCTTGCAACCTTTGTCTGGCATGATTTCCATTTCTTACAGTTGTACAGTTTTTATGTATTTTGCTATAGTATCTAAAATTTCTGATTAGCTGCTTTCGTTGGTTACTCATCAAAGTTAATTACTATTAATTTATTTTTAAACAAGAGAATCTGAGAAAAAAAATCGTGAATATAAGGATTTGTAATGCGCTTTGAGTTCATCTAGTAGAGTTCTCCAATCTTTCTGGGTTGGTGACCTGGAAGGGGGAAAGAGGGGAGGCGCATGTGTGGGCAGGGGCATGTGCGGACGTGCAAGTGTCTACAACATTCGTAATGAGGCTCGTGCAAGTGGAGCCACAGGTGCCCGTGACAAGGTTTGTGCAAATGGGGCTGTGAACACCAGCAATGAGGCTCGTGTGAGTGGGGCCGCAAATACCTGCAACGCTCATAGTGACGCTTGAACAAGTGGGGCCCTGCACGCACACCGCCATGCGTGCATTGGCCGGCTGTTACATGGCCCCAGTGGCCATTAGGCCGCTGCCCACAGGTTGGTGACCCTTGATCTAGTACTTTCCCTGCTCAGTTAAAAAATTCAGTACTATAGCATTCTTAACAGATGGCCCTCCAGCCTGTTTAAACACATCCATTTAGGAAAGATCTATTTATCTATTAACAGCTCTTAACCTTTTTCCTGATGTCCCATAAAAATGTTATTTCCTATTGTTTAAATGAAAATAAAATACTTTGCTGCTGACAGCTACGGTGCCATGATGACTCCATTACTTTGAAGAAAAATGCCTTTATATATGCTATGTGACTTGGAAACTACAACAGGAATAGCATTTCATCCATCAATGTAACAATTATAGCTACAGACCCTGTGACTCTCATTCTGATTGTAGTGAGCTAAGGAACAAAAAATGCAACCCAGAATAAGTAGAAGGTTCAGTCAAATGTCAGTCAAATAGCCTTTACCTTTACTTCATCTGTCAAAGTATATCTGTTCACAGACTACAAATAATTCTCGTTAACAGCTACTTGTTCAGCAATTGTTCAAAGTTATATGAAGGAGGAGTACTTAATGACCAGTCCTCATAGTTGCATCCGTTGTAGCGTCTTGCAATCACACAATGACCATTTGCAACCTCCTCGGTCAACTTTTTATAAGCAAAGTCAATGCAGAAGGAGGCAGGAGGTCACAAATGGCAGGAGGCCATCTCATGACGAGATGCTGCTACTGGGCAGGATTTGCCTCATTGCACAACTGCACAGCAACTGGGACTGCTATTACAAATTGGTCAGGTTATGTAACGCTGCAGCTTACAAATGCTTTGCTTAACAATCCTGGCCATAATTAGCATTGGTAAGTGGGACTACTTGTGCTCCATGTGTAAGTTTTATTTTGAAAATAAATAATAAGATAATTCATTTTGGGTGCTTAACAGAGATGCAGTCTCCACCCGCTCAAACCAGCATATCATAATGAAAAATGGCTACCCTGTCATTCATCTCAAATTTAAAACCGTCTTGAAAAAGAGAGTCTGCGGATTTTCTGGGTCATTAAGAACTATACTTGGGGCAACAAGTGCCGTAATGTTGGGAAACTCACAGAAAACCCAATTCTCTGTCCCATTTCCATTCCACCTTGCAATGCTAGGGTCTTAAGGAAGCTCTTGACCTTCTTTAGAACGGGCAAAATCCTTTGGCGTAACTCCATTCTAGGTTGGAGAATATATAAATACTTGGGCCATAAATACCAGGCCAGTTTATTATTTGCATTAATAGCAATTCATGAATTTATTTAAAAGTAACCACACTCAGTACTGGATGCCAAATGTTTCAGAAATGAGCCTTGTAGAAGTGAAAGAGGCTCCAGCTTCACAATAGGCTTTTAAGTGAAAATGATGTGAGAATAGGCTTACAGAAAACACTTACCAATTGAAGATTTCTCAGTGTCCTTAATCTGAGCAGTTGATTGTGAAAGGAAAAGGGGGGAGATTTTTCCAAGTTACATAGAGATAACTTGATAAAAAGCTTAATGGAACGATTTTTGGAGAATGCTGAATTATAATTGTGAAATCCTATAGAACAATGGCTGCCTTGTCACTTCATAAGCTGACCTTTTTAAATTTATTTTGCAGAGACGTCAGTGAGAAAGTCACAGTGAAAGGGTACGTTCAATCAAGTTTGTGCCTGTTCTTGCATTTTTTGTAAAATAACAAATAAGGTTATATCATTTGTTTTCACTTGTCTCGTTTATAGATTTAGAAAATTCAACATCTTGGGGACAAATACCAAAGTATTGAACCTGGAAGAGTCAAACGGGAGCCTATCAGCAGAATTTAGACACTTGGTGAGGTGTTTGTGGTATCTCTGTGATTTGATATGCTGAAGTTGCTTTGGCTCCTTGTTAGTTATCTTTTTGCACTTGATGTTGATTTTTTATAGAGCTTTTTATACCTTTTGAAGCTTATCCCAATCTTGTAGACTCCAGATAGCACTGAGCAGAGTAATAATACAAATATAGAAACCGCAACAAGAAATAAAAACCGTAATAAAAAAAGCATACCCTACCATGAACTCAACTAAATAGTCAATTCCAGTTGAAAGCACTTTATCCTAGTGATCTCTGACTGAGACAAGGATGTCAGTTTATGCTACAAATGGTTCTCTGGCTATGTTTCCCATTCATGAGGACATGGGGGAGAAGTTCATGATTTAAGATTTTGACTCTCCAGTAAGAACTATTTCATGCAGTCTCATATAACTTTGAATAGGGTTGACAGTTCTTCTTTCTTTGAATAGACTCCAAGATTCTTTCAAGTTCTTTCTGCACTTTTGTCATTCTTCCTTTTGTCTTGCTTTAGTTTTAGTACTTTTTACCACTTTGTAGAATTGGACCCAGAGTGTGGTGACCCAGAATGTAACACAAACATAACAAAACATCAATAAATGTTCTTTAATGCCTCCAACTTGGCCCCATTGTTCAATAATACTCAGTTGGAGATAAAACATACTCAAAAATAGTCTTCAAAAGAAAGCAATATAGTCTGAATTTAATGAGCAGATAGAGGTGAAAATAAAACCAAACAAACTACAATGATGAAATTTCCACAGCAGAACAGGAGAAGTATTTACCAAATTCAAGCAGATAACAAAGCACAGTCTGTTGGAAGGATGCCAACCAAGATAACTTCAGACCAAAATAAAACACGTTTGTTTCTGGCAACACTGTGTTTTAACAGTCTCTTTTATATACTCGTCTCCCCAGCTGTAACCAATGAGGATCATTGCCACTTCCTCTCTCGCAAACCAAGTTGTTGCCTTCTCCATTCCTCCCTGCGTGTTCTAGGATGCAGAGGGGATGGGCCTGGTTCTTCCTCTGACTGCCCAGCCGGCCTCAGCCCTTCCCCAGCCTCCTCCACAACCTCCCGGAGCCACACCTCCACTCCCTGTGAGCTGTTCCTCCTCTACCTCAGAGTCCGATTCTACCAAGGGAATGACACAAAGTGACCATTTTACAATGGAGCCCAGCTTCCTTGAACCGAGATCTAATAATAGGAATTAATTTGGTTCATAAGTCATTGTTGTGGAATCGTATCCACTTCTGTATTATAATGAGGAGGAAGAGTAATATGGGAAATGTTTTACTTTTTAAAGTAATCATGTATATTATATTCAAAAATTTTACAATATGATTCTCTTAGCAATTTATCAGTTATTGGACATTTGCAGTTTTTTTTAAGTACTCTGTCAAACCTTTAGGAAACAGGTATTGCCTGGTGTCTGAAATTCATAGTATTTATCTTTAAACCATTCTCTAAATGAAAGTTTCTTTCATTTTTTTTTTGATAACTTAAAATTTGTTATAGTTTAGAAATAGGCTAAAATAAAACCAAAAGTCTGTAAGGGTAGATTATTGCGGTGTAGGCACAGATAATCAAATTGCTCACATTTTCTATATTGTGACTTTAAAAATATATATGTTTTCTTAAGTTTTCGCGGGTACTTACATGTATGGTGTTCGGCTTGGTTCGGGTATTTTCCCACGTCATTATAGTTCTTTTAAAGTTGTAGCAACGTTTCAGCAGAATCTCATCTGCCATCATCAGGCTTCTGTATTGTGTCCGTCTGTGGGTCAGACTTTTACAGTGGTTTCAGATTTAAATTTGGGGCAGCCTATTGCTGTGCCAGAATGGTTTTTTCTTCATCCTGATTGGTTGGGAGTCTTGGTCTGTGTTTATTGGTCTCGGAGTTTGCTGTGTTCTGCTTGATGGGTGTCTCTGGTATCTTCTGTCTGTTTTTTGGCTCTTTTTGTATTTTGATTGGCTGGCAGCATTGTGTTACTTTAATGGAGGCCTTTAGTGCAGCTTGGCTTCGGGTAAATGGACGGCTATCATTAGTTAGGAAGCTGGGTTTCATCTGGGTGCCTGGTTGGGGTGTGTTTGAGCTGGAGGTATCAGGGGGGATCTGTTTGTGCCCAGGTGTTTGCCTGGCTTGTGGTGTGGAGATTTTTTTGTTTGTGAGTGCAGGCTTCCAAATGATTGACAGCCTGGTGGAATCATCTCTTCTGTTCATGCTTTCTGGTCTTTTTTCAATCTCTATGGCTTCTCTGATGACTCTGTGGCTAGGGTTTTCCATAGTGGCCAGGGTTTTGGTGCCATTGAAGTTGATGCTATGACCTGTAGCTTCCATGTGTTGGACTAGTGAGGAAGTGTGTTCCAGCTTTTTGACTGCATTTTTGTGTTCATCCAGGTGGGTACTTATTCTTCTATTGGTCTGTCCAATGTATGTGGCCGGGCATGATGCACAGGGGACTTTGTATATGCCTTGGTTTTCCAGGTCAATTTTATCTTTGGGGTTGCTAAGGATGGCTGCTATTTTTCTGTCTGTTTTGAAGGCAGTCCTGATGTGATGTCTGTGTAGTACCTTACTAATTTTTATTAGTAAAATATATATATCCATCTCACTTTTATGTGGCTTGAGGCAGTTTACAATAAAACAATATACATAATAGAAAACAAAGATAAAAACACATAGCCAAGCATGATCTAATCTTTCAGGAGACGGGGTTTAATCCATACCCAGGGCTGAACACACTGATTCCTTGAGATGAAGTGCAATCTTTTTGAAAAGAATCTGATTTATTAATATTATCTGCCAGTTCAAATAGTGAGAGTGTGAGTTACTGTCAAGATACACTTCACACTCTTCTTTCTGCAGTTTAAAAGGTTTGAAAATCAAAATCTCCACAATACACTTCTATAATACTAATAATCAATAGGATCATCTCCAGTTCAATTTTCTGCTAGAAGCTTCTTGGTGAATCTCAGTCTGGCAGGTTTATAGGGGAATTGTTAAAAGTTGCCTATATAGTTGGGGAATGGTTTTGTGTGAGATACTCCTATAAGAAGAAATGGAGCCATAACATATGGAAAATAGCGAAAGGGGCTACATTGAGCAAGAAGCTTTTAAACCATACATCAAAAAATGTTGACAGGCATGTGGTTTAACCCAGTTTTCTTCTTTTGTAGCAATTAAAAGAGCAAAAGAATGTTTCAAGATCTAATGAGGTAAGGAAAATATGCCTTAGCACTTTAGTTTTATTTATTTTGTCAAGCAATTATTAGACAACAGGTATATAAGTACAATAAGGTATAAGTATAATACATAAGTATAATAAGTGAATCTGTATAGGCTTATTTGAAAACTCCTAAATCAGAACGCTGTAAAGCTGCCAAGTTTAGGCTTCCACGCTGCAGAAACAAACACTAATAACTTCATCACTAATTGTGTAATAGCAACAGATTCACCGGTTCTTGCCTTTCAACTTTTCACATAGAACAGGGGTCTCCAAATCGGCAAGGCTTAAGACTTGTGGACATCAACTCCCAATTTCTCAGCCAGCCATACTGGCTGGAGAATTCTGAGAGATTTGGAGTGCGGAATAAGGATTTAACTCTTACCTGTTTTGAACCTGCAACTAGGTTAGAACAGGAGCAATCAGCGATGAGGTTTGCAGGAATTCTGAGGTCCATCTCAGGAAGGAAACACAAAATTTTAGTACTCCAGGTGGCAGAGGGTGAAACTGATAGGTGGAATTCTCATCTGAATTAGGGCCACCCAAAATTTAATGTAGATAAAAATTCTTAGCCAATTTGGAATTGGGATTCCTTTTTATCCCATTTTAAAAGTCATTCAAATTTCTTTAAGGGCACCTTGCATTAGTATCAAACTCACGCTTTTAGGATCAATTTGGTTCTTTCTCACTTTCTTTGGTACCAAATACATCAAATGAAAGGGATTTCCCTGTAATAACCCCACATGCAATAAATTTTAACAAAGTAACAAATTAATGACTCCTTCATAGGTGATAGAATGTCTTGTTATTTGAAATTGATTTGGTGCTATCAGAGCTAGCACTTAAAGAAAGCCCTAAAAGTCTATTTATTGGCCCATGTTCCCTCTTAATAAGTCTCATCCTTCTTTCTAAGTTCCATATTATAACTGCTGCTTTAATAGTTTAGAAGAGGTTTCTGTAATTAATTTCAATTGGGATTGCATTTTTTCTCTTTTTATAGATATTTGTAGAAGATGTGCTGCAATATTTGAAAGAATAAAATATGAGGCTGTCAGATAGCTAAAGTTAGTTAAGTACGATAAACTAAAGTTCCTCTCTTATTTTTTAAGGGTCCTCTCATTGTAACTGAAGAACTCCATTCCCTCTGTTTTGAGACAAAATTGGAACAGAACGGCCTTGTAATTGAACTGGAAGTAAGTAGATTAAAAAAATAAAGGCATAGGGTAGCATATCATTAACTTCATTTCAGAAGAAGTCGATAATCTTTTGGTGGCTAAGGGCCACACTTAACATTTGAAGGAAGATCGAAGATCACAAAGTAAGGATGGCCATTTCACTTGTAGGTGACACATCTTTAATAGAATTGTTTTAGGATTATTACAACTTTTATTAGTTTCTAAGCTCAAAATACCCGGAAAAACATGCTACCAATTTTCAACAGTCTTAGTCAAAGAGTTTCCAAAGGCTGACAAATGCAATGTGCAGGCTTTAGCGCCACAGGTTTGTTCATTTGTTCAATTTGTATAAGTTGCCCATCTCACATTTTTGCCTGTGGGTGGCTCATACAGTAAAAATGAAAATGAACACAATTAAAACAATTTTTAATTTAAAAATGTTATTAAAACTGTCATCTTTCTCACCTCTCATCTTTCCTACTACCTTCTCCTATTGGTATATTATGATTTATCAATTGTTGTTTTGTATCTTATGATTGGATCTTATGATTTATGATCCATGACTTATCACTTGGTTGTTTGTATGCACCAGAAACAAAGTCCTTGTGTGTCCAATCACACCAGGCCAATAATTCTATTCTAAAAATCACTAAAGCATAATATAATCTCCAGGAGAGGGCAATCAATCTTTAAAAACAGTGTTGTAACCATTTCATGGGCTGCATTCCACTATCAGATCCCCAGGCACCGTAGCAAACCCATCATCAGACCCTTCCAAAAACCAATAGGATGTAGCCAGTCTAACCTCAGAGGCCGAGTGCCACAGCAGGAAAAGCTGCCCTCCTGGATCTGCAGTGCCTCAATAACATTCCTTGTCAGGCAGCACCCCAATAACATGTCTCTTCTGTTGGACTCGATGGGAGAGGTAAATGTAACTGAGGAGATGTGATCCTCATCTGACCTGGCCCCATGCTGGGTAGGGCTTTATAGGTCATTTCCAAACCATCCTTTCCACAAAGGTAGTCTAAAAAAATTTATTCCTTTAATGTTGCCCGCAAACATTGGGAATTACCCAGTGAATATTCATGGGTAAAAAGCACCAAAATGTTTGCTGCAGTGTACCATTGGATGCAATATTTTGGAGGCTGTTTTATTACTGGAAGTGATGGTGTGCATGTCAGTGTCACCATACAAATGACAGGAGAAGTTATTTTGTCAAATGTCCTAATGTAAAATGGTGCCAATTAACGGTCATGTTTGTGAGATGGTGTCGTCATACCTCAAAAGCAATTCGATGGTTACTCTTTGTTCACTTGGCTGCTTGCATTCATTGTCCGTTTCTCTGAATTGATAAATGGAAACTGAAGTGATAGTGGCTATAATCACTGCTTCTCCAGTGCAGTTGGTGTAGTCTATGATGCTGATACAAGTCTTAAGTAAAATTAAGAAAAGTTTGACATGTGGTGATTTAGGAAAAACGATCCTCAGTGATTAAAGCAGCCTTACACCTAAAATCAGACTGTCCTTGCTTGGCTTACCGTATCGATTGGTGTAGGATGTTTTGGAGCTAAAGCCCAAAGCTCTGTTTCTTCTTTGGGGCTAGACCACAGGTGTTTAATGTGACCTTCTAATTAGTTTTCATTATTTCATTACCCTATTCTTTGTAGCTGTTGCTTTGTAGCTGTTGCTGTTGCTGTGTTTTGCTTAAATCCTGAATCACTCTAATGATTAAATGACACCGCTGTATATTGTGAAGTTAATAGTCTGATGTCAAACTTATGCCATTCAGTTCTGTTGGTTTAGGGCAGGGGTGCTTAGATCTGGCCTACAGGGCCACCCTGGAAACAGGGAAGGATTGGCTCGTGGTACCTCTGCCAGGGAAAACAGAATTTGGGTGAGCCACCTGTGGTTCCCCCAGGCTCTGCTTTTAGCTGCAATGGCCTCCTGCAGCCTTCTGCCAGCAAAAACGGAGCTCAGGGCCACCCCTGAGCTCCGTTTTTCACTGGCAGAGGATTTCAGGAGGCCATTGAACCAAAAAACGAGGCTGGCCACCACCACCCCCGCCACCCCCCAGTCAAACACAACCCTGATGTAGCCCTCAATGAAATTGAGTTTCACACCACTGATTTAGACCCATAACTCTCATCTTCTCTGCGTGGCAGAGGAGGATGGAATTAAAAGCCTAATACTTGGAGAAGGCTGGATTGAAGCTTTGGGTGGATTCACAATTTACATACACGGATTATAAAATGGTCTTGCATTCCTAGCTTATTTAAAACTATTTAAAAAGCCATGACCATGTGATATGTGAACCTAGCTTCATTTTTTTCTGCCTTTAGGTAAAATTCACCATTGATGAATATTTGCTTAGCTTGTCTCTGTACTTTTCCCTTTCTAGACCACTTCCCTTCCAATTGTTGTGATCTCAAACGTCAGCCAATTACCAAGTGGATGGGCTTCCATTTTATGGTACAATATGCTGATGGATGAACCTAAGGTAACTTAAGAAGCACCTTTTCTAAGATTGAAATTGCTAAGAATCACTGCATTCAGACTGGCTGCTTTTAAAGTCTCCGTCATAAACGCTTTTACAAAGAATTTAGTCTTGCTTGAACATAACGGAATTTATGACATTGTACTAGAAGCATTTTATGTCGTAAAAATGCTTTAATCTTTGGTAGAAAAAGATACATTCTCTAATCAGATCAAATAGATGCACTATTGCTGTGATTGCTTTTTTCTGTTCACTCAAAAAAAATCCAGCTTATTACATTCATCTGTTTATTACAAAATTGATGTTTATATGGCTTTTGGAGGAGATATTGAAAAATGTCTTGATTTATAATGATATAGGTAAAAATGGTTGTTTTCTGGAAGAGGGGAGATAGCATACCTATTCCTATCAAATCATTTATATTTCCAAAATTTGGAATATTCCAAAATATTCCAGTTTTTTAAAAAAGCCAACAAAAATATTCTGGTTTTCTGTTTGAGGAAAAAAAAATGAAAATTAATACAATAACCTTCAAATCTTTGATACTGTTTAATAAGAGTGGAGTTTTCTGATTTTGTGATTGAGTACAAGGAAATACAGACATTTCTACTGATTTCTCCCCCCCCCCCCCCCCCGTAAAATACAACTGCCTGATTACTGAGTGTTAGTATCTGGTTTTAGGCTTGTTAATACTGCTTGCTTTGGCATCATGGATTGGTTTAGAAGGGGATGGTTCTGCACAAGTGGCATGCATGCTCACAGCTTTCACAAATTGAGTTTGGTGCACTTGCCACCTTGCCCGTCGATTACATGGCCCAGTTCCGGGCCATGACTCAGGGGTTGGGGACCCCTGGTTTAAACTTGAATGGCCAACATACTCCTTAGGTTTTTTTTATGCAATCTTAGATTGGTTTTTTTGCCAAGTTAACAGTGCTCCTTGTAGCATCTGAGTGCCAGCATTTTGGGTGGCAAAACTTCCTACTTAAACATCAAATCTCAGGCAGTTGCAAGCACCACTGTGTGGTAGTTAGTGTGCCCTTTGTCTATCTGTTGTTGTTTTTTCAAATGATGGAAGTTAAAAACCAGAGATATTGGAGATTGTCAGTTGGGAGCAGGATGGTGCTGATGTAGATTCAGATCCCATCTCATTCCTGAAGCTCATTGAGTGACTTTCAAGTGTCCCCATTTATTTGTTATTCTTTTAAAGTCTTGTATATCTAGCTTACTCTTCATTCCTATCTGGTCAGTTCAAAGCATTTGGCTTCAAACATTACAAACATAAAACTTATCGGCATCTATTAAAGGCGCCACATTTAAGCGAGTAACTGTCTTTCCAAAAGACATTCCTAAAAAGTAGCTTCTGGAGGGTTATGGGTAAACAGGTGGGATAGGTCTTTCTTGGGCCCAGACACAGCTACCAAAATGGGCCTTCTCCTTGCCCTGCTATGAAGCATAAGCTCAGTAGACAATCTGTCAACTGTGCCTCACAGAAATGCAGGAGAAGTCATCTGAGCTACTTGAAAGAAAGGTGGGGGATATTTGCTTTATATATCCTAATCTGCTTCCATTTTAGAATTTGTCCTTCTTCCTTAATCCACCATGTGCAAGATGGTCACAACTTTCTGAAGTGCTGAGCTGGCAGTTTTCTTCTGTCACAAAAAGGGGACTCAGTTCAGATCAGCTGGACATGATCGGGGAGAAGTTGCTTCGTAAGTGGCATAATAAATCCTCTGTAGGGTGAAAACTGGAAGGTCTCAAATCATCATTTCCGGAAGCCCTCTGAATCTTCACACTGCCTCTGGTTTTAGCGTTAGTGCTTGATTGTTCCTGCTGCCACCACCTATCTTTCAGTTAGCCTCTCATCTTTTGTCCATTTTTGAGTGATTAAAAGAGCAAAATGCGAAAGACAAAAATAATTTCAGTAGTGGAACCTCTTGGCTATATAGCATAGAGCAGGGGTGTCACACTCAAGACCCATGGGCCGAGTCCAGCCCATGGGGTGTTTAGGCCCACGGGGCTGCCCTGGAAACAGCGAAGGGCCAGCCCATGGTGTATCTGCCAGCAAAAACTGAGCTTGGGAGGGTGACGTGCGGCCCATGAGTGACATTGAGCTGGCCACGCCTACCCTGACACCCCACCCCCTGAAATCAAACAACCCTGATGTAACCCTCAGTGAAATTGAGTTTGACACCCCTGAATAGAGGCATGGTAATGAGAGATTTTAGCCCTGCCTGATTTCTTAAAATGTGGTTTTAATTTTATTGAATTTTTTTGGATGGAGAATGTGTAGATCTCCTTTTAGGATAATAACAAAACAAAACACATAAACCAGGGGAATGCTGAAGTGAAGATTCCAAATTTATGAAACATATATTTTAAAATCCAATTCCATACATCCTTCAAAATCAATCATGAACTAATAATTGTGCACTAATAATTGAACAGATGTGTTATGGCTTTTGGGTATTGGATAGTCCAACACATTTGGATGGGAACAAGTTAAGGAAAGCAGTCTTTAAGCTGCATGTTCCTCAGACTTTTTCTAGGTGGTGATACTTAAAATTCAAAATACAATTTTTGCATGTGATTTAATCATAGCATTGTGTTCTATGTTGGTATAAATGCATAAATGTTAGTAACCTGGTAGAAATGTCTTGTTTTTTTTCTTTTTCTTTTAGCAAATGGATGTACTCCAGATGGCCTTATTTCATGGGCAAGATTCTGCAAGGTACGAGTCGCTGTTCCTCAGCTAATGCTATGGAGATCAATGTAACTTAATATAGAGCATTGCTCGTTGGATTTTCTTCCTACTATAAAAGAGTTCATCTGAATTATTCTTGGTTCTGGCTGAATCATGACTGGGATAAGACCAAAAAATGTTCTGAAATAGTTTGGAGCGGTTACGTTCATCAATGTAGACATGATCATAGGCTGCTCCAGTTCATGTACAGTGCAGTAGTTTCTCTGATGAACTTTCCTTTAGGCGTCATGTGATGTATAGATCCACCCATTATGGTTTAGTTCAACAGTAAGAAATGGGAGCCTGACTCTGGAACAACTTAATGAACAGAGCTGAAATTGGGAGGAACACCTACCATAATTCACAGTCCTTACAAGCATCCATACCACCTTGAGCTGATCGGAGATGGGAATCTAATACTATCTGGAGGAGCCCTGGTTTTCCAGCTCTTCCATTGGGACTACTAAACTGTCTTCCATGCTAGTGGTTTCTTGCCATGGAAGACGATACGTAGAACAGAAGTTGACCTCCAATGTGGCAAATAGAGGTTTCCCATGCTATGTTAATAAAGCCTTTACTGTTTGAGGATTTATCAGGAGAAAGAAACCTTGCACAGGAGGTATCTCTTGCAAACAGTAAACAAAGAATAGGAAAGCTTTTAGCTCCTAGATGCACTGTTTTTTTTGTGGGGCGAAGGGCAGTTTAATTCAATGAAGATGTTATCTGAGTAACAAAAAGTCTACAGAAAAACAACCAAATTCAGAGAGCACCAAGGACTCCACAGCCTAATTCTAGGAAGCAGAGTTTGAAAAAGGGAAGGTCAGGAACTATGGAATAATGGAGGCCTTGAAGCTGCAACTTATCCACTCTAATCATTTAGACACCCCTATTTTAAATATTCAGAAAAATGAGTGCAGCAAACACCAAGCAAGTGACAAGAAGTGAAACTTAAATTAAAACCTAAACACCCGTGAGATGATGCTAGATCAGTTTGCAGTTATTACCACCTCAGCTTTTTGTCTGTCTTGATTTCAGGAAAACCTGAATGATAAAAATTTCACCTTTTGGCTGTGGATTGAAGGGATCCTTGAATTGATTAGGAAACACTTGCTCTTCCTCTGGAACGATGGGTAAGCATCTTTTGCTCAGGGCCCAAATAGAAAAATCAGACAAGTCTGGAATGACTTCAGTTGGACTTCTCACAACATATTGAAGTCTAATAATATTTACAGTCAGTAATAAAAAAGAAAATGACTCCTTTGGACTCCATTAACTTCAGAACCCTAAAAGGAAGAATCCTGTAGTGTGTGAAGGGAACCTGTTTTTCTTTTCTTCTGCACAATGAGATTTCTTTCTCTTTCCCAGCATCTTCCCCACCCACCCACCCCCCGGCTTAGCTTTGAAAATCTGTTCTTTAGACTTGAGGCTCCACAGCAGATTTAGAGAGCATTTGCAGTACTGTGGCAGGAAAGGGAAAATTTCTTCTGCTTTCTTTCCCTTAATAGAAACTGCATCGCTAATGGCAACTTACCAGGTTGTTCCATACTTTGAATCTGTACAGTTTCAATGTGTGATGCTATGATAGTACTAAAGAAAGGGCATTGTTCCCATGCCTGCTGCGTGTAAAAAGGCTTAAGAAGAAATGGAGAAGCGATATGGGAGTTTCACGCTAATCTGGGAGGGATTATAAAGTTAACGTCACCATGAAAGAACCGTTATAGTGTTTTTCCACTGTTCTTTTAAAGTGCTTCTAGATTTCTGCAGTGACTAAAAAGACCATTTTCTAAGGAGGTTAACAGCACTTTTTCTCTATTATGAAACCCACAAGTGCAGCCAAATGCTTTTTTAATGGCGCAGCATAAAATCGATCGACAGAATGTAGGCAGCTGCCTGAAGGAAAAGTAAATTATTTTACTCAGCCTTAATTTTGCAGTTTCCAGTAGCAAGGTTAGTTAGAATGAAATAGCATTGTTACAGGTAAGTCCTCAAGTTACGATCACAATTCAAACAGTCACTAAATGAACTGTTGTAAGTGGAGGACTACCTGAACATGAACCCAGGACATTGCAACTGTCTTAAATGTGAGTAAGTTGTCAAGCGTATGAATGCCAATCATGGGGGTGGCAACGATCACGTGTGGAAAATGGTCATAAGTCACTTTTTCCCGTGCCGTTGTGACTTTGAACAGTCACCAAGCGAATTATTGTAAGTCGAGGACTATCTGGAGTCCCTTTGCTGGAATTCTTCTGATTTCCCTTTAAGAACCAAAATTCTTTTGTGTACGTGGGGAGAGGGACTTTCTCACAGCCTTCTAGTGAGGGGGCTGTTTTTTTCCCTCAGGGACAAGGGCTGGGGGGCCTGCCACTGGGGATCATGCAGATAACAGTCCTTGAATATTTAAGCTCCCGCTTCCTCCTTTTGGCAGAAAGACTCTGGAAGATGCTAGTTCTGCGCTTAAAAAGCAGTGCCCCTCCTTTGATACGAATGTGCTTCTTTCCCCGTGTTGCAGGCACATCATGGGCTTTGTCAGCAAGGAGCAAGAGCGCATCCTGCTTAAGGAAATGGAGACAGGGACGTTTCTTTTGAGGTTCAGTGAAAGTAGTCGAGAAGGAGCGATCACGTTCACCTGGGTGGAAGGGCCAGCAAACGGTAAGCAAAACTTGGAAGAAAGGCTTTGTGTTGTGACGAGCCTACTGATCCTCTTTATGCTGGGAGCTCTGGTGCTTTTAAGAAAGGAGATTCTGTACCTCTGATTTGGAAAAATTCATAGTTTTAACAAGCCCAGGCCTGGTTTCTCCCAGTAAGTTAAATCCTAATTAATTTCCACAATTCCATGGAATAAGAACCCAGTTGCCTTTGTTTAATAAAATCTCATATTATACAGTATATAGGGGAACAATGCAATAGCATTCTCTTTATCTACTCAAGGTTGATGAGTGGATTTTCTTTCTATAATATTAAGAGATAATTAAATTTGGTGTCTTTCTTCTTTCTCTCTCCCCTGATCTCCCTCTTATATATAATTTATTTTACTCATACATACAAATCAATCAAATAAGCATTGAGTCAGGCCAGGGCCCGTGAGCTCTCTAGAGTGACTGGCAGAGGCCATGACAGGAGCTCAACTTTCGTCCAACAGTACAGGCAGGGATGCTGTCCTGGCCTACTTTGTGTCAACAAGAAGAGCAGGAGCACTAAGGAGAGCCCAGCCTTGCTTTTCTAGCAAGAGTTAGATGGAGATTCAAACACATTCAGACCAGCAAACTGTTTTACACGTCACTATGACCATTTGAGTTCCAGAAGCCCCTCAACAGAAGATAGCAGATTAGGTTTAAAAACAAAAAAAAGTAGCAAGGACCACCTCACAGTTTTTACTGAAGGAAAAATAGAAGTAAAGCAACCAAAGGAAAAGCAGCAGATTAAAATCCACAGAGCTACCTAATTAATCTTGTCATTTGAATGAAAATACTACTAGGTCCAGAATATTGTATAGGAGGGAAATCTGTAACAATCCCAAATGCAGTCCTCAATGTATGCTTGTGCATGTAAGCAGCATACATTCAAAATTATTTTCTATTCATGGTTGCCTGAATTGCATAAATATATGTTTAAGCAATGTTTGAGATTGCAATGAAACGCTTAGGCCCACAGGGTGAAGTGTTGGAGATCTCAGAGCTTCCTTGTCAGAAGTCCTCTTGGTCTTCACACTGGCCTCACCTCCTGCACTGAAGTACCAATTTTGTTGTTCCTCCTCCTGCCACTTCTGGATGCACTTACTAGGAGATTGAGAACCCTAGTTATAGGAAAAGAGTTTAGACCGATACCCGTGGTATCTTTCTGGCCATTAAAAAGTGAAAGTGCAGAAGTTTAAGTATAATGTACATAGAGTTATTCCCTGGAGTTCTATAGCAGTGAGGTTTGGTGAGTAAGTTTCAGCATTTCTTCTACCTTTTTGACCACATCTCTCAGAACATAAAATAAATACAACTTTTTCTTAAAAAAAAATAAATCCTTAAATATTAACATGCAAACAATTCAGTGCGTAAGGGTATAAATATACTGGTATTCTGCTCAGATCTCATTAATACAACAAATGGCAAATTAAAAAGAAAATACAATTTATGTGGACAGGCCACAAGATGGCAGTGGTCTGCTACAGATGAATTGCTCTCTGAAAGAATTTCAAAAAAGTTGCTGGAGAGGATTTATATTATTACTAAAGAGATTATAAAGTGTAAATCAGGAACTAGAGGGAACCATGGTAATTCTATAATTTTCCCTGCTTCCATCCATAGACCTTTTAGCAACTTCTATACAATAAGGGGGAAATAGAGTATGGAGAGGAAAAAAAACTTCCATTGCTCCAATTCTGGCAAAGTTTTTGGTAAATTTCTACATTATTAAGCTTCTGCTAAAGGTAGCCTCAAAAAAATCAATGAAAAATATTGAACTGAAGAAGCTTCTTGGATGAGAAGTGAAACAACTGAAAAGAAAAAACAAGGAAGTCCAGTTGCCTCTTCAAAGAAGCACCTTTGGGACAATTGAAAAATACGTTTGCTGTATATTGAAAAACTTGTAACATTTATCTTCTCCTGTTTCCTTCCCCCACCCCATCCCACTTTGCCCCAGATCCATCCTTCCACTCTGTGGAGCCCTATACAAAAAAGGAACTCTCTGCCGTCAGCCTGCCGGATATCATTCGCAATTACAAAGTGATGGCGGCTGAGAATTTTCCCGAGAACCCACTGAAGTACCTGTATCCATGCACTCTCAAAGACAACGCATTCGGAAAATACTACTCCAGACCCAAAGATTGTGAGTAGTTTTCTCTCTACAACTTGCCTTTTTCACAAGGATAACATTCTCATGTCCAGATGTGCAGGCTTGTGTGCCTCAATTTTTGCATGCCCTCGGAAACGACGTTAGGGATCTCAGCTTTCCCTGCTTCTACCCCTGAATCCGACAATAGTTCTTTGGAATTTAGACCTGGGGATGGGCAAAGGAGTAACATTGGTGCCATATGAAACATGCCACTGACCTTCATTTGAAAGCATTGCTTGCACGCAAGCTGCTTCCAGTTTTGTTTTTCACAAGTTGGCTTGGCTCATGTCTACATTGATAACAATTCGAAAGATGTTTACCTCATGACCAGAATTCTTTCTATTAAGCTTTCCCCCCCCCTTTTTGCACTCATCTAAATTGATACAAATGGAAGTTGGGAGAGATGTCTAGACCAGTGTTTCTCAATCATTTTGCATTGGTGCCACCTCCACAGATATGGGACAGTAAGAGGTGCATTTTCTGGTGTCAACAAGACACTATTTTCAGTATAATACACATTGCCTATCTGCTGGTCCCTTGGCACTTGATGTACACACACACACACACACGGACGTTACATGTTTTTCACAGTGGCCCCTTGAAATATCAAATGGTCATATGGCCCCCAGTTGAGAACTTCTGGTCTAGACATTAGCTTGGTCTGGATGTTTTCTGTTTTCCAGATGCAAAAATAAACTTTTTATATGCTTCTTTCTAGCTTCGGAACCCATGGATGTGGTTGCTGGAGGCAAAGGATACATCAGAACTGAACTAATCTCTGTATCTGAAGTGTGAGTTGCCAAGAAGAGAACAGAGTACACTTTGAAAATACTGGGGTGTCACCTTTAGCACTGGCCAATATCACACTGTGACAAAATAGAAACATTCTTCCCAAGATTGCTCAGGTGCTATGGTCGTGCACCTTCAGCGTGGCCTCTGGAAACCAGCATAGCTGAACGGTGGTCTTGGTTTTATGCTTGTACTGAATCTGGAAGCTAAGATTGGATCACTTTCCCTTCCCCCCTACCACCAGCATCAATAAACAAGTTTGCAGGGCAGGACACGACTTCTGCTTGCCCACACTTTGTTCTTGCATCACATGTCAAAATAAAGTTGTGGATTTTGGTTAATGATATAATGTGCCTCTTTGGTTTTTAATAGAGTGTTTATGGGGGGGTACAGACTTCCTCAGTTTATTGGGGATGTCTGAGTGTGTGATAAAGTTGGCAGCAGTATTATAAACTTTTGGCTGGATTGGGGGGGAGGATGAAGAGAAGGAATTGAAATGGCAAAGAGTTGTCCCAGGTCAGGGTTTTTTTAAGGGGGGAGGAGGATGGTAAGCAGAGCATTCACCATGAAAAGGCTGGCTGGTTGCTTTCACAGTCTTCCTTTCTACTTTCCACTCCTGCTTGACTGCTGCATGCTATTCTCCCATGTCAAGTCTCTATTCTGCTTCACCCCCCAATTCAATTGTTGGCTTTATGTTTCTTATGTGCTGCATCATCCCTGGCTCTTTGCAATGTCCTCTTTACAGCAACCAAACAAAACACTTCCCTTCCTGCAAGTATTTTTAAATCCTTAGATTTTAAATGTATTGACAGGGCTGATGTACAATGCTTACGTATTTGTACCTTGTCCAGTTTGTATGTAATGATCATAACATTGTTGTAAGTTGGTTTTCTATTCATAAAGATCCTTAAAACAATTGGCCCGCAAATAAATCTGACTAGTATATAAGTAGTCCTCAACTTAAGACCACAATTGAGCTGAAAATTTACGTTACTGAGAAATATGTTGTGAGTTTTGCCCCATTTTATGCCTTTTCTTGCCACATTTGTTAAGTGAATCACTGCAAGTTGTTAAAGTTAGTAACACACTTGTTAAGTGAACCTGGCTTCCTCATTGACTTTGCAAAAGGGGATCCCCAGGACAGAAACCGTTGGAAATATGAACCAGTTGCCAAGCATCCAAATGTAAATCTCACGATCATGTGGATGCTGAGACATGTTCATAAGTGTGGGAAATGGTCTGAAGTCACGCTTTTCCTGTGCCATTGTAACTTTGAACAGCCACTAAATGAACTGTTAAGTCGAGGACTACCTATACAGGAAATTGTTCCTCTTAGTGTCATGTGGATTTTGGGGAGTGGAAGAAAAGATACAGCTCTTTACAGGTCATGGATGATCTTGTGGCTGTAGGTGGGCAGAGAGATTTCAATTAAGAATGTTCCTTAAATTCCACCTCCCCTAAATCTGCCAGGAAACCAAAAGGAAATGTAATCTATCAAATTTGCATATGATTTTAACTGGTTTAGAGAGAAAAGGTTAGTTTTCCAATTTGGGAAGGGGTTGTATGAATAATCTACAGTAGGCAATGTTTTAGAAAAAAGGAACCTTTTGCTATGTGACAGTGAAGAAAAACTCTAAACAGGTGCATTGAATCATACGTTTAATATGTTTTATTTTTCAGCTCTAATGCAATCCCATGTCTTGTGCAGGTTTAGTAGTGCAGGGTCTTTAAGCTAGCAGGGAGAAGTTCTATCCCAAATGTAGCAACCTAAATCCAGCTGTCTTCACCTGCATGTTTTGTCCATGATGGGCTTTGGGGAGAAAATATTCACGAATATAACATTTCTCTTTTTTTTAAAATTAAATTGGCCAAAATAGTAGTGATACCCCTGAAATAAAGGTACTTTTCCTTGCTGCCTCCTTGCTGAATTTATTTGAGAATCCTAAAGCACAAGTTCTGTGTTGCCTCAAGCAGGAAATGCGTGTGTGCCTGCCCTGCTCCCTAATCGAAGTTTAATAGATTTCAATATAAACTTGGGCTGATGTCGACTAACAAGCTGTACAGGCTGCTGGCTCAAAGCAAGCCATTTGTGTTTCAGTGTGGCAAGAAGGCTCTGTGATTGAATTAAGAACGGTTTGTAGGCGATAGTGACGCTTATCTGCAGGCTAAGCCTAGAAATAGTGATGTGGAGACAATTGTTGTGCCAGGACTAATGGATCAGGTACCCAATTCATGAGAAACTGATCGTTTTTGTCCTTTGCTATCCTTCAGCCACCCTTCCAGACTGCCTGGCCCCGAGGCCCTTCTGCCTATGTCCCCGGAAGAATTTGATCAGGTAGTGCAAGAGGTAACTTCTGCAGAAATTATGGTGAGTAAATGACAATTGCTTTGTGGTCTAATAATGCATTCAGCTGCTTTTGTAACAAGTCTGTCATCTCCAACCAAGAGATGTATAAGCACTATAGCTATCCTTGATAAATAGCACAGTCTATGATAAAGGCATGTCCTCCTTGCTACCAGGCAATTGATGAATTCTGCAGGAAGTTTCAAACCATCTCTTCCTGCCAATTTGGGCCTTCCAGCTGAAGTCAAAATTACAACAGCCCTGCTTGCATGTTAAATGCACTTGTAACCTAGGTTATCCTGAAAGGGTTTTTTTTAATCTTGCTTGCATGCTTATTTGCACGGGGTGGTGAGATTTTAACCTAGTAGCTCATCTTTGTTTTCTCTCTTACAGATGTGTACAGAATGTACACCGTGAACCCTGGCTAGGCCTGCTGGCATAAAGTCTTGAGTGTGTCCTCTTTACCTGCAGTTCCTAGAACCCACAGGAGTCTCATCATTTTTAGTCTCTTAGGCTCTATATCTTGTAGTGTTGAGTACTCTGGTTTTTACTGCAAGAGCGGCTTGAACCTTCCGAAATGCTTACTTGCTACTAAAAATATTTATCTAGTAATCCTGTACGTAGCTGTTTTCATGGTGTCGTGTTCAATAATATTTCCAGCTTTTATAAATGAGGTTGCTTAGGTTGAGTTTGACCCATGTGTGAAAAGCTACAGGTCTCAGACTCCTCTGGAGAGCCCCTGGATCTAAACAATCTTAGGATTATCTTTTTATCTTGGGGTAGATGCTTTGAAGTTAATGCTGCCACACCACTCAATTTTCAGGGGTTGATGGGCCCTCCTAACACTAGTTGGTCAGTACGTTCCAACGACAACTGCTGCCCTTCTGATGAATAAAAGGTAAATAGGAATTAATTTCTATAACATAGTTTCCTTGTGAGACTGCAATAATTTCAACCTTCTGCCCCCATTCCTCTCAAGCATTAAAGTCTAAGGTAACATTCCTTTTTACAGTAACTCAGATACTGCAAATAATTCCAGTTTACAAAAATGCATGTGCTTCTTTTGGCAGATCATAAGATAGTCAGTGATCAGTGATCTCAGGAGAAAGACTGGTCAAGTTACTAGCTCCCAAGAAATATTAAAAGAGAAAAGCAAAACTTGAAATCTCTGAAATTGCACAGAAAGTCCTACGTGTGCAAAGAATAGAGTTAAGAGAATAAGGGTTCCCACATACACAAAAATAGTTATGATTTTAAAGGCAAAGTCTAATCAGAGCAATTACCTGTTCCTTGGAGGTACCCTGAATTATGAAGCAAAGTGCATGAAGCAAAGTGTCCCTGAATCTTTTTGGCCTCGTCAGATACTTTTAACCACATATTGAATTTGTCAGATGGTAGGCTTAACTGACTTTTCGGAGTCTAGGCACCCCAACAACTGCTTCCCATCTTCCTGTTGTTCCAGAAATTGGCAAAAGCAATCCAAGTAAACACCACTGGTGTTTGTTATCATATTAAATTGCATGTAATGTGATCTTTGTTATTGAGGGAAAGAAGGTTCTTCACACAAATGTCATCAGAGTGCTAGGAAATTCAAGACAGGGTACATTGTGTGTCATATTGCCTGTAATGATCATAGCTATTAAGTAATTAATAAAGTGAATTTATTGCAGTCTTCTATGGACTTTTTTCATCCTGGTCCCACTTAACAGCAACTAGGTGCGTATTACTCCCTTCAATATTTACCAAATGCTTCTTTAGACAAACAAACATTGCCCCCTTATATATTGAGAACAAAAGGGTAGACTTAACTAGGTTTTAGGGCAATGGCACCACAATGGACAACCTTACAACATAGTACGCTTCCACAGAATGCAGACTGGATGTGAGAGAGAAAAAATATCCAAGCTTACTACCTTTATTTATTTAACTTTATTTTATTTGGACTGTTTATTATTCTTAAAATGCAATGCATTTGGATTTGTAATCCTGAAAATAAATCTTACCTTCAGAATGGTTACACTGAAATTTAAGTCATAGGAAAATGGTGACAAGCAAAGAATACATTCATCATGGTTTATTCCCTATAATAAAGCCAAATGTCAAGCCAAATCAGTCAGTTGCTCATCAGGTCAGTAAAGTCACTGATAATCCTGCCCTAAAGCTAAAAACGGTGCCAGTGCACTGCAACACAAACATACACACACTCGCACACACAAATGAGATAGTAGAATAAGATGGCTGTAGTACTAATAAAGCTCACTTTTAGATGGAATAAATAAAAATGTTTAAAATTCACTGTTGCATTATTTTTGAATGAAACCATGGGAGGCAACAGCAAAACTGAACTGAAGATAATGTAAATCCACATATAAATAAAAACTCAGGAGCTACAGAGACTTATGAAATACAACTCATAAGAAAGAAAAGCTATACTATAGTTGCAAGAGATTGGTAGGTACTAAATAAGGTTTGGGGTTTTTTTTTGTAATGGCTAAGGGAAAAATATAAACTGTTGGGTAATATGGCCATTTTTTTATGTGTTGGTTATTTTCTTCAGCATTTTTATTTGGTTTTAAAGCAAAAATAAAACAAAGTAAAACACAACGTTGACTGGTGAACATATATTCTAGCACTTTTAAGATGGGGTTGTGTGTCTGGAGCAACATTCCCTACTTTGCACAATATATACAACATTTTTTTTTAAAATAACTAGTATGTGCTATAGGAGATATGAATTAATGAGTTTTCCATAATGGCATCTGGGATATGAGGGCTGGCTAATGTTCTGCTCTAGAGAAAAACTGGTCAGCTGCAAGTGAACTTTCTAGAGGTTAATCCAACAGGGTCAATACGGCCAAACTTTTAACTGAAAGGACAAATGTGAGGGAATGGTGACGCTGTGAGTGTAATGGTAGGGCAAAGGGGGCAAAAACAATGACCTTGTGATGCCTTCTTAAAAAATCGTCTTAGCATAAATGAGTTTTAGCATATTCACAATATCCAGTTTAGCATGTATACATACAGTTTATGACCAAATCAAATGCGGTGTGATCGCATTGTTTTGCCATAGGTCACAGTTCACAATGGGGAAAACTCAACCAGTTGAAAGAGGGACGGGGGGGGGGGGGGAAAGCAGGACAAAGAGTCTACAGGTGCAGTATTCTCTACTTACATTCTCCTACGTTGTTTGGTCAAAGAAACCTTGGAAGAGATTCCCTGATAAAAACACTTGGAACAAGAGTTAAGCCTAGGCAGCATCCATCAGTCCATATGTAAGAAATTACATGATGTAAGTGAGTATGGTGGGAAAACATTTTGAGTGCTTTATGTTCCAAGATGCCAGGTTGGATCCACAAGAGCCACAAATCTCAAAATCTAGCAAGACAACAACTATGTTGGCTCAGGTATACTCACAGACAGCTTTCTTAAAAGTATCCATGTTTTCACAGCAAGCAGGACAAAAAAGCTTCATGAGTATGACCATGGAGTAAAGCTTCATGGAGATATCCCTCCCGCCCCACAAAAAAACCCTATGCGTATAGTCAACAATAATTTCTATCACTTGCACATAGCACAAGATAATATTGCTCACATGAATAGTTGGGTTTTTTTTCTGAAAAAGAAACTTGTCTTTTGTGTGCAACAAAGAAAGCTGCTGTAACATTGGAGCAAAGCAGTACTCTGAAAAATATACATCGCTATCCAACAGAAACATTCACTCTTCATAATCATTTTCCACAATTAAATAGATCATTAACTTTGAATCTCAGTCAGAAGAATGTTATAGTAAGCCATCCAGGTTTTTCTGTACAGTTTGGTTTTCTTTTCCATTATTAGAGTTGTCTGGAGGGGTGTACTGAACTTGATATTCTTGAAGAATCTTGAATACATCATGATGTCCAAAGTGCAAAGCTTCATCCATAGGTGTATTGTTCCATCTGGAAGAAAATTGAATAAGAAGTGGTAGGAGTGTTAAAGGCATCTCAATCTCTAACAGGCTCTAAATTAACATGATGATGTATTTATACAAAGATTTCCATCCTCCACTTCTAATGAACACACAGCTCTCTGTTTAGCTTCTAAAATGAATGCTGCCTATATAGAAAACCCCTTCCTGAAAAGTGGGCTCCCAAAACAGCATTTCAGCTGAGCCTGTCCCCTTGCATAGTAGAAACTGACTGAAGTTAATGCTGTTTGATGGGTTTCTTTACAATAGACCTCTTAAAATCTGATGATTCAGCTCCTTCCTTCAATGAAGCACTATGTACTCACTTGGCCAGGCCAGTCTTGGATAGCTTAATCAGGATAAATCATACTTAACTTGTTTTGTGTTACTACCAAGTATCCTGTCTTCATCTTCAGTCTGAATGCATGTCAAGTCCTATTTTAATGTGATGGAAGGAGAAGCAAACATCCTAGGTGTACCATAAGACTGTGATGGAGCAGTGGTTAGAATGCAGTACTGCAGGCTACTTCTGCTGCCTGCCGGCTGCCTGTAATTTAGCAGTTCAAATCTCACCAGGCTCAAGGTTGACTCAGCCTTCCATTTTTCCAAGGTGGGTAAAATGAGGACCCAGATTGTTGGAGGCAATAATATGATTCTGTAAATCGCTTAGAGAGGACTAAAGCACTGTGAAGTTGTATATAAGTCTAAATGCTATTGCTATTATCAAACAGTCCAGGTTGAAGCAAACCGGAGCAATTTTATGTGAGGCTGTAGCAAATACAACTTTGCAGGCAACTGCAATGTCTTCCTAAGCTTTACTAGGCCCTTGATGCAAGCAACTTCTTACAATGGGATGATTATATAGACACAATGGTAACAGCAAAGAACAACTTTTTTTCTGCCCTACAGACAAAGCGCAGGCTTTAACATGAGCTTTGTTTGTTGCTTGACTGGATTCCTCTGAATCTTATTCTACTGTCTTGGTCTTCCTGCTTTATGGTCCTGGAAAATCAAAGAACCCATTTGACTTAGCAAGCAATGAAAGCACTCAGAGGTACTCCAAAATTAAAGTGTATGATTGGCAGCCAGCCTCGAGTTTATCTTTCTCCATTCGTGGTGAATGGTGCATTTTGCCATAATACCCACAATATCCTCCCTATCTTCACAACTTTGCTTTCAGTGGAGTCCCCCTTATCCCCCCACCTCTCATAGTGGAATATTTGGAAAATACAAACATGGATAGATAGCTGAAGTCTTATCTTTGTATTAGTCCAAATATAGCTAAAAACAGTTTAATCCAATACCTTCATCATCACTTCTTGACCAAATGCAATCTAGACCAAACTCTTGAATTCAGAGAGATGTATCTTCCTTCCTTACCATCTTCTTAATGTTCTGGCTTTATTAAGCATTCTAGCCTTGTTATCAAAAGTAGCCTGTCTGTCTCATGACCACTAGGGAAACTTCCATATTTTGAATTTTTTGTTTAGAATAGAGACAGGAAGAATATTCTTAAATAGTAAATGGCAATTGAGTTTAAAATGGAAGCTTCTTAAAATACCTTGCTTTTCTAGGAAAATTATGGTATATAATTTGGAAGCAGGCATTTAAGAAATAGCTTGTGTTCATGGCTAAATAGAGAGAGACAGACAGAGAAAAAAAAGTGAACTGCACCAGGCCTGAACATCCCACTTTACAAATTCCCACCACAGAATATTTTTTGTTCCGTTCAAAGTGGTGTTCTATCACCAACAGAAGTCTTAATATAACTTAATATGACCCAATTCTAAGATCACCAAGTTTGTTCACTTTAACTCTATTTGCCAAATGAATTGATGCTAGACGAGACTGTTCCGTCTGCAGCAATCCTGAAAAGCCATAAAACTAAAGGAGAAATTCAAATTAAAGTTAATGATTACTTTTTGTAAACCAAGAATGGTGTAAGTACACATACACATTTCAGGAATGTTAACTGTGGGGCATTCCAACTCAACATTTCATTTAGGTGAACTTAAATCCAGTGAACTCAGGCGGTTAAGACTTGTCTCCTGTACTCAATAAAAATGGGGTAACTGCGTTAATTTGCAGGGAGAAGCAAGTATGCTAACAAACTATTAATATTCTGGGGCATGTTTATTTAAGATCTACTATATTATCTGAGGGAGCCAGTCATTCTCACTCAACCCTAAGAAGAAGGCAGTGGTAAACCACTTTTGAGATCTTGCCAAGAAAACTGCAGGGACTTCTCTGGGAAGCCAACACAGGTCCACATACGCACATACTGTATGTTATTTTACTGTTGCCTTGATCCCTTGATCTCTCCCACCCAAAGGACTTTATGTTTAGCTCTGCAAAGAAGCCTAAGGCTTATTCCATTTCCACATCTTGACACAGAAGATTTAACTGATGGCTAGGCTAACTTAAAGGAGCAGATGTTGCATTACACTTTGTGGAAAATATCAGATTTTTAGGGTATGAATTTCTTGGAGCATACTGTTTACGAATCCAGTACTAATATGCATCACTTTTAACAAAGTTAATTAATTCTCTACTATATTTTTCATGCAGATGCTCACCTGTCTTTGGGAAAAGGATTCACTTTGCAAGCTTCCAGCAAAAATTTAACTACCTCTACATGACCTAAAATACAAAAAGAGATAAGTGCATAAACTCCTTATATTCCCCATACCAAATGCAAACAGCTAGTTTAGATATTATTCATGGTCCCAACCTTCTGCAGCTGCTACGTGCAATGCTGTTCGAGAATCATAGTCTCTTTGTTCCATATCCATACCCGACAAGGCAAATCTGAAAAAATGGAAGGAGGAAAACCTGATCACAAATAACATAGAGTTAAACGAACAGCTGCCCCTAAACATCTGGCCCAGTGAACACATCAGGATTGTTTAAAGCTGGTTGCCATGGGATGGAGCACTTGCCAATTAGGAAAAGTATTGCGATGTTGGCAGGGACAGCAGCTAAACCAAAAATGTCAGGTGGGCACAGGATGCCAAGAAAACCGGTTTCCACTGGCCCCATGGTGGGGACTGCATTGTAGTATGATCCTCAGACACAGTATTTGGACCATTGTTCAATCCTGATTAAAACTGGAAGTCTTCTTCACTCTTACATTATGCTAGGACTCCAGAGTTAGAATGATGTTTAACTGTGTTTGAGCTGGAGTAGAGGAAAATTGAAGAACTGCATCAAGCACTGAATTAAGTTTAGCTCTTCAGTGTAGTTCTCTCTTATGCTTTCTTTTCCCGTCCCATTGCGTCTATCATCTATCTACAAATTATCCTTTTTTCAAGGTCTCCTTTTGCTATCAAATCCTCTTTTTCTTTAACTAATAATGGCTTATCCAGCCATCAGACAGCCATATATAGTAAGACAGCTTAAAGGCATTTATTCTATTTGGAACTCAGCAAAATCTGAGGACCTTGGGCAGACTGAGTTCACAGTAAGTTTCCAAGTATTCCAGAGCAACCAACCAATCAATTTTTATTTATTTCAATCACTGGATTAAATCAACCAATCAATTTTTATTTATTTCAATCATAAGACAGAGGAAGCCCAATCAATTAAGGTTCTAAAATAACCAGATTATTTTTACCATGGCCCATTTCCGTAGTTTTTCCTCTGATCTGACTGTTCTGCTCCTCAAATGTCCCACTTCACATTTCCAACTTCCAGCACCCTTGACATATATTTTGAATAGTGGATTTCCCCACTAGACAAACAGTCTATGGACAGCAGGTAGTAATATTTAAATTACCTTAGCAGGTTTGAGATAATATGGTATGTGGAAATGACCTTAGGAGAAAGGGGGAAGAGTCATAGCCAGAGTATGGCCAGACAAGAGGCAGCTTAGCATGCAAAAGGAACGTGGGCATGGCAAAAACCTCAGAAGAGACCCTCCCTAGTTTCTTGGGCTGTAAAAATGGGGGTGGGAGAGAGAGATGCATTTTGAGACTTGCAGGATTCTGTTAATGTAACCTTGCAATGAAGTAAAATTAGTCCATCTGGTTGTGTTTTCTGTCTAGACTAAGGCTGACAGGATTCCTCCAAAGCAAGGCAGATCAATTCCAGACAGTGCTTGAATAGAAATTGCTCCAGGCAATTTGAGCAAGGGAGTAGATTGGGAAGGAAATTAAAATGCCCCCAAAATGCAAACAACTTCTGTACTGCTGCCAAGAAAATCGTGTGTGTGTGTGCATGTGTGCGTACGTGTGCTGTTAGCAATAGTCAAGCTTGACTTGGGGAATCTTTCTGTCTTCACAGTGGAGGAAAGGTTTGGGGGAACAGATTGCGTGGATTAAACTTCTCCATGGGAAGAAAGGTGTGGGGGGGGGGGGAGGAAAAGGGGTTGCTTTAATTCTGGAAAAAAGGTCCCTTTGATCCCATGTTGTTGTTTTTTTGACAAGTGCACACGCATATATGAATTGAGAAAGCCTGATACATACACACAGAATCACAGCAGACACACTTTTCATTCAAGTGTAACCATCTCAAGCAAACATTTCCTTCTAAGATTGACTTTACCTTCTAAGGGCAGACACGTCTCCTGTATATGCAGCAAACAAAAGATTTATTACAGACTTCACCTGAAAGAAAGGAAAGAAAAAAAATATTTACAAAGTTATTGGCAGAGGGCCAAAACGTGTGGGTGATAATGTCATCCTTAAAAGTTTGTGACTTACATACTTAACATTAAAAGGTGTGTCATTTTGCTGCCATTTTATTTGTTACAGAGACTTCCAGTGTCGGGGTAGGGGTTTGGGGTAGGCTTTTTTTTAGCAGGGGGGATTTGAAAGGAGGTACTGTATAATTATTGTGATAAATGCCTAAAACCGTTCTGTCTACCTGATTGGGCCTTAAGGCCAATTTAAGGTTATAGATATTCTACTATTGTTTCCAGACAGGATATAAACTTTAGATCTAGAGTTTTGTTTGTTTGTTTGTTTTGATGAAAAATGATCTACTTAACTTTGGCCATTTTGTGCTTCAAAACAATTTTAGGGTCTCTATTAAGACAATATTTTTCCTTTCACAAAATAAAATATTTTATGCAAGTAAAGCTCCCCACCCTCAGCAGCTACTCCTGTTCCTAGATAACATCCAGCAATGGCCTGGGCATTAAAAAAAGAACATCGCATGCTGAATCACCACATATCTTTAAATGATCTTGTGAGAGTACATTAACTAGTCTGAGAGCTTACATAAGCTTGTGAAAATCAGTAGAGACCTTTGCTCCTGGTGAGAGATTTAAAAGCCCCATGCAGTATCAAGGTTGGACAAATGGTCTTGTACAACTTCTTTGCTAGGTCAGAAACATCTGGTTTATTTGTTTTTTTTTTTTTTATCTCACCTTTTATTATTTTAAAAAATAACTCAAGGAAAATGAACATACCTAATCGTCCTCCCTCGATGTTCCTCACAACAACAACCCTGTGAGGTAGATTGGGTTGACAGAGAGTGAGTGGTCCAAAGTCACCAGTCGGCTCTCATGTCTAAGGTGGGACTAAAACTCGTGGTCTCCTGCTTTCTCTCCTTCCCTTTTGTGAAGCCTTGTCCTTAATGCCAGGTCACTCTCTGCTTCTCTTTGCACAGACAAAGGGACAGTCAGTCCCCTTCTCCATATACAAGGAGACATGAAGCCACCTAGACTGAGGAGTTTCAGAACGAAAAAGACCAATTGTTCTGCGATTGATCTCACCTCCATTATTATATATTTCATAGTCTACTGTGGTTGTCCAAGAAACTCCAGTAGTTTCCATGAAAATCATGATCAAGCAAATAAACACTATCTATTTGCTTAAATGTCTACGGAGATTCTCAGTCATCCAGGTTATGGTTCTCCCAAAGGTGCTTTGTCAAGGGGCAACTGGACTTTCTGTTTTCTCTTTGAAGACATTTCACTTCTCATCCAAGAAGCTTCTTCAGCTGAATAAGCTTCTTGGATGAGAAGTGGGAAAAGCACCTTTGGGACATCTATTTACTTGCATCTATTTGTATCTGCCCCAAGGTGAAGACAAGAAAGGCTGGAAGGAATTCTGTCCCAGGTTTCCTTTTGATGAGTTGGTTTTGGAGCCGGGTTTTTTCCTGGCATTTCAACAAAATGCTACACATATTGCTGTCAAATTGCCAGTTGTTATGGCCTGCATTCAGTTCCTATCATAAACAATTTGTAGCTCCTAAACAGCTCAGTTCTTTGTCTTATACCTCATAGACTGAAGAATTTGCAACCACGAATGAGATCCAAGGATGTGGGAAATTACAGTCCCTACCGAAGTCAGATGTATTTGTAAATATGATTCAAAATGTGGCTTATTTATTTGCATAGATGATAAAACAGTCCTTGACCATTTTCCTTAGATACCCAAAGTCAATGAGAAATTAGTAGAGGCATATGAGATAACAATACATTCACAAAGGTTTAGTGTTTCCCAGAAAGCGAGTTAATTAAAATAATCTTGGCCCAGTATTTCAACCTTTTCTAACCTTCTGGAATAGCAACATAATAGCTTCTTCACTTACATTGCTCAGAGAACAGAAGCTATAAAAAATGGAGTTTCTATTTAACATGAATCTTACAGGAATCATCTCATCTAGGACATTTATAAAATAATGAACAAATCCATAATGAAGAAATTCAAACCAACCCACAATACTAAAAGTGCTATAAAAGGAGGCAGGTTTTGAATATTATTATTTGAAAAATCTGGATTAAATTTGACCAAGAATTAATATTAATAAGTTCAACTGAAATGGTACTCAGAAATGCATTTATCTCTCAAAATTAAAATAGGTACACACGCAGAATTGATTGGCTATTTAAAACAAAACAGGGTACTTAAATTTGAATAGAATAGAATAGAATAGAATAGAATAGAATAGAATAGAATAGA